TTCTGGAAAGGATTCATCATTCTATATCCCATTAAGAACATTCATGATTCATGGGAAGAGTCAAAATATCAACATTAACAGGAGTTTGGAAGAAGTTGATTCCAACAGTCATGGATGACTTTGAGGGGTTTAAGACTTCAGTGGATGAAGAAACTGCAGACATGGTGGAAATAGGAAGAGAACTAGAATTAGAAATGGACCCTGAAGATGTGATTGAACTGCTACAATCTCATGATAAAAATTTAAGGAATGAGGAGTTGCTTCTTATGGGTGAGAAAAGAAAGTGGTTTCTTGAGATGGAATCTAATCCTGGTGAAAATGCTGTGATGATTGTTGAAATGACAACAAAAGATTTTGAATATTACATAAAGTTAGTTGATAAAGCAGTGGCAGGGTTTGAGAGGACTGACTCCAACTGAAAGTTCTACTGTGGGTAAAATGCTATCAAACAGCATCACACGCTACAGAGAAATCATTCGTGAAAGGAAGAGTCAATTGATGTGGCAAACTTCATTGTTGTCTTATTTTAAGAAATTGCCACAGCCACCCTAGCTTTCAGCAACCACCACCCTGAGCAGTCAGCAGCCATCAACATCGAGGCAAGACCCTCCACTGGCAAAAAGATTACAACTCGCTGAAGGCTCAGATGATGGTTAGCATTTTTTAGCAATAAAGTATTTTCTAATAAGGTATGTATATTGTTTTTCTTAGATATAATGCTATTGCATCCTTAATAGACTACAGTATAGAAACATAACTTTTATATGTACTGGGAAACCAAAAAATTCATGTGATTCACTTTCTTGCAATATTCGCTTTATTGTGGTCATCTGAAACCAAATCGCAATATCTCTGAGATATGACTGTCTTCTAAGGTTCATAAAAATTATGACTCATAGTTCCTTGAAAAAATATTAGTAAATATCCTATGGCCAAGTTAGAAATAAATCTAGATAAATGAGAATCTATAAATATAATTATGGGAGTTCTAAATCAAATATTAGTAGTATTATTTCAAGTGGAGAGTGAATGAATGATCCTCTATGACAAAGAGGATTTCGTCCTAAGAATATAATCATTGCTTTATATCAGGAAACCTATTAATATAATCATATCAGAAGTTCAAATAGAAAAATCATACTTTCTTTCTATTTCCTCTATTCTACATAAGGGTCCAAAATATCATTCGTCTCTGAGAGGGAGACAAACTCTATGAAAAATACCAATGTAAATATACATTTTACTATCAAAAAAATCTAGCTTAAATCAATAGGAAATATTATATTTAATGATGAAATATGGGCCGGCCCTGTGGCTTGGTGGTTAAGTGCGCGCGCTGCGATGCTGGTGGCCCGGGTTCGGATCCCGGGTGCGCATCGAGGCACCACTTCTCCTTTCATCCTGAGGCCGAGTCCCACATACAGCAACTAGAAGGATGTGCAGCTACGACATACAACTATCCACTGGGGCTTTGGGGGGAAAAAAAAAAAAAATAAAATATTAAAAAAAAAAAAAAAAAAGTGATGAAATATTGGAGGCATTTCCATTAAAATAATAATTAAGAATACCCATTACCACAATTTTAATTGTCTATTTTATCTGGAGGTATATGATGAATATAAAACTTCATGAATATGAAATAAAAGCTATGAATATCAGCAAGGAGGAGATAAATTTATGATTTGCAGATGATAAAATTTTGTATGTAGAATTTTCCAAAGAAAAACTAAGTGAAAAATTCTCTAGGTCAGTGAATGTTCAGCAGAGCTGCTGAATTAAGTTTATATATATTTAAGAATCAATAATGCCTGTCATTTTCTTTTCTTAACAACCCCAGCAATAATCATTTGGAAACTTGGAGGGAAAAATTCTCGTTCAAAACAGTAAGAAAATACAATCTGTCTAGGAATATCCTTATCCAAAAATTTGCAGAGGGTGTATAAAAAAAAATAAACCTTTGCTTAAAGATAAAAAAAGAATATGTGGTTTAATGATTACATAAAACATGGCCCTAGGTAATCAAATATACATATTTAAATCCCACTAGAATCCCATTTTAATTGTCAGAAATCTTATAACATCATTCTGAAATTCACCTGGAAGCCTGTACAATATAAGAATTGCTAAGGAGAGTGTGTACAAGGGATGACGAGTGAAGATGAGAAAACAACAGTAATTAACAACCTGAAAGATAAATCAGTGCATGTAACAGTAATGACTTCTACCATAAACAGTTGCCCACTATGTGACAGGCAGTGCAAGAGGGAGGCACTACATACCCATAACATCACACATGCTCAAAATGAGTCAAGTGTTAGTGTGCCTACTTCCTACCTGGAAACTGGCATCAGAGCACTTAACTAATTTATTTAAAAAGCCACAATTAGTATTTTATAAATGCAGGATTTAAAAGAAGTACTAATTCTACACTGGAGATGCTAATCAGAGAGAATGATTCCCTGATTTTCTATTTTCTAGGCCAGATTTCCAGAGACCTGGCTATTTTCTGTTTTCTACCTGAAGGAATATCAGATTATTGATTGTATGCTTACATCAAGACCATTGTTTTGTTTTTTGTTTTTTTCTCAAGCTAGTTTGAATGGATTTCAATCCCTTGTAGTCAAAGATTCCCTAATGTCGATATTAAAGCTCAGTATTTTTATTTTATATCTTCTAAAAACAAACAGCCCAAATCTCATTCTAAATTAACATTAAAGACAATGTTAAAATTAGTAACAAAAGGAATCATGATCCAAGTAGTATATCTTTCACAGTTGGTAATTCGTTGAAAAAATATCAGTAATAACATCCCATGGTTCACAGCAAATAACTTGCATATAATTTAGAGAAGAATAAAAAAATCTTAAGACAATTGTAAGAAATTATAGATGGAACAGTACAATATTTAAGCTTAAAACATAGAAGCAAATACAGAAAGAAGTGTGAATGGATTTCATTACTGAAAATTTGAACGTTCTACATGTAACATATCATACACAAAATTTAATATGAAATAACTTACTAAAAAATGCTTGCTAACATATGACCATAAACTAATATATTATTATACAGAAAGGATTTATACAAATTGATAAGAAAAACACAGAAAACTGAAACAAAATAGAAAAATAATATAAATTAATAATTCAGGGAAAAAACTAACTAACGAAGATGTTAAGAAATTCACGATAATAACAAAAAATGTGCCAATGAAATTGACTATTTTTCATTTATTAGTAACAGTATTAAAAAGAAACATTTCTCTTCATTTCTCTGTTAGTCATTATCTTAGATTTCTTGTATACATATAATTTGTCATAAAATTTTGAAAATAAAAAGTGTAAAAGTATTTATCCTTGCATCTAGAAATTCCACTTTTAGTAATACATTCTAAGAAAATAAACTTAGACAAAAGTAAAAGCATAAAAATATTCATCATCACACAGAGTATAGGAAATGAATATTCAAAACAACATCTAAAAGTAAGGTAAAAGTTTAAATAATATGTACTTTTTTGCCTGATGGATACTATAAAATCAAAAATCATATTTAGGACACATTTTATTACTATGTAACGGTTATGACAAAATAATAAAAGAAAACAGACACAAAATTGATTATACAAAATTAAGGAACATCATAAAAATAAATTGAGTTTATTACAATTAGAGTTACAAAAAGGTTAAGTATTATTTCCTCATTAACAATTTTTTGTTTTTCTATACTTAAAACTTGTTTTGCAATGGGCATGATTTATGTAGGGGAGCAGAATTTGCTACCTCAAAATGTATCTCTTTGACTTGATTATTTTTAAGAACAAAAGACACAGGAAGAAATTTGGACCTTTCCCCCTAACTGCCTAAAAGAATTTAAGATAGAAGGCCTATATCAGGAAGGAGCTATCCCCGTAGATAACTATAGTATAATTTGAAATAGATGTGGTAGACAGGGAGGAAACTAGCAAGGCCCATTTGATCAAAATCCTCTCCATGTCCCATGGTCTCTGCAAGCCTGGCAAACATTTGTTTACCAAACGTTTGCTTTTCCATCTCCGTGTGAATTTTCCTCCTCCCCTTTGAAGTCCCAAACCACTACCTCCAACATCCTCTTTTATCTTTAGCTGAAGATGGTATTTAAGGTGGTAGCATCAGCCATTTTGGTGAGTTATTCAGTTTTCCTGGATTTCTCCCATGTGTGCATGTTATTAAACTTTGTTTGATATTTTCTTCTTATTAGGTCTCATGTCAATTTAATTCTTAGACCAGCCAGAAGAACCTAGAAGGGTACAGGAATATTTCCTCCTCCCTTACATTTACCTTAATGATAAAATCAGAAAACAAGCATAATTTTAAAAGAATTTATTAAGCATTAGCTCAGCAACAGTATGAGAGTGACTTTAGTCTGGTATTTGTGGAGGTAGGCAGTTGGGAAGTTTGGTATAAAAACGTTCTTGATCAAAAACTGACCTTTTAAAATAGTAGATTCACAGAGGTCATAACGCCTACACTTTCCTGGAAAATCAGAGAGAAGATAACATGAGTAATTGGGCTATTGGAGGTAAGATAAATAGAACTAATCTCTACCATGAGATATATCTTCAGACACTGGTACAGACAGGCCTCACCACAGAAAAGGGATGTGACTCAGCAAAATTGAGTTTAGGGAAGAAGCCAAACACAGCTGAACATAAGGTCCAATTATTTTGTTTTGTGTATGCATCAAAACCAAATATTTTCCACTCACTGAGTGGTCCTTGAGAGAAATGAGGACTGCAGGGTTTTCCATCTGTGCCCCATGGGACTTATCATTTCTTATGCAATCATTGTACTATGGCCAAAGTCAAATAAAACCAGGGTTTCACCAAGGGCCATGAGAAGGCAGATAAGATGATACTGGGCAGCAGCACTCTATCATTGTTCTCTATTCTATCTAGACTTTATGTATAGACTCTGAGCCGGGAGCACCCAAATCCATTTCTTGGATACCTGTACCTGAGATGCTTTGTATGAATTTTAATTCCCAGGGAAGAGGTAAAAATATCGTGTCATGGATACTCTCTCAATTGTGGGCATCTGGATCCAAACACCTGGGGTCTCAAATGAATGTTGAACCTAAAGTAGTAAAGAAAGCCTTCAGAGATTTTCTAAAAGGGGAATTTGGACTTCTCTCTCAGGAGTGAGAAAATTTACAGTGTGTATTAAGGCCATGGCCAGGAAGTATAAACAGAAGAAATTTTTAGCTTTTCCTTGGATTTAGTGCACACATGAATGAAATAGTACCCTCAAAACATTCCCTGAATGAGCAAGGCTATCAGAATCAGAGAAACTCACACTGGTTCTATGTAGTAATTCAAAAAAACTTCCTCTTTAAATAAACTTGGAGTAGAGGAAGGAGCATCATGATGACTTAAGGGCTTCAGATTCCTGAAAAAAGTTTGCAAATGGTTCTACAAAGTTTTCTGGGGCATAAAATTGAAAAGACAAGAAGATCCCTACCTTTCGAAAAATCTCCTCCAAATGATGACTGCAAGAGTATTTTTTGAAGTAGTAGATAAGTTTGGAAATGAAGAAAGAGCCATTTGTGTCAGTTCTCCAAGAAACATTATCTGCAAATAAAAGGTATTAAAATATTGGGGCATGTGGCCTTTGTATAAGTGTGGAAGACTCTCAGAGCCATAGCTTTTGGACAAAGTTTGATTTTGGTGCTTTGAAGGAGAGAAGGAGTCCAAATCTGGGTAAAGCTGGGACCTCAGATTTCCATAGCAGGCCCACAGAACACCACCATGAACCCTCAATCATAAATCCCCTTTACTTTCTTAGTAGGCAGGGCCAAAGTTATGGCCCCTAGGATTGCAAGTAGTGGAAATGAACACAAGTCCTTTCAGCATTTATTACATAATAGAAAAAAAGAATCCAGCTCTTGACATTCCTTGATTCTGGGCCTCCTCTTCATTCATACTGTTTCCTATTATAATTTTTTGTACTTATTGGTTTATTGTGTGAATATCTTTTGAATTACTACTTCTTTTTACCGTTGCAATGTGATTAAATCTCTCCTGTCATAAAAAAGCTAATATTCTTCTAATTGTCATTTTAACTGCAGCTACCTTCCTAGTTCTCCTTCCTTTTTATAGTTAAATTTCTCAAATTCGTCTCTACTCACTATCTTCATTTCCTCCCAGCCTGCTCACTCCTGTGTGGCTTCTCCATCCCATACTAACTTTACCAAACGGCTCTCCCCAAGGTCTCCTATGACCTCCAAATCATTAAATCTAAAGGTCATTTATCAGGTTTCACCTCTACCTCATCTCTCATTCACATCAGAAACTGTTGGTAACTCCAACAGATTATTTCTTGGTAACTCTGACGACACATTCTCCTAGTTTTCTTTCCTAGTCTGTGACCATACCCTCTGGGTCTAATTTGCTGACTAATACCCCTATCCCTGATCTTGTACTCTAGGGTTCTTCAAGGCTCAGCTTTAGGATTTCTTCTCACTCTATTCTCTGTTCCTAGATAATTTCATCCATTTTGGAAATATTAAGTATCATCCTTAGGCAAGCATCTCCCAAAATTCTAATGCAGATGTCTCTGCTGAAATACACAGTTGTGTAACTCTCTACCCTTCATTTCATCTTGAAATATGCCAAAGGCATCTCAAACTTTCCTGCACGAATCTCATTTTAATAAATGCACCACAATCATCCACTTGCAAACTTGAATTACCTCTACCATGCCTTCTTGTTCACCTGCCATATCCACTAAACCACCAGGCCATATTAATTTCATATACTAATTATTTCTTGGATCCAACAACTTAACTCATCCCAAGACCATCATTATCACCTATGGCTTATAATACTGCAATAGCATTTTAACCTGTCTTCCTAATATCTACTCTTGCTGTACCATAATCCATTCCCCATAGAACCCCCAGAGTGACCATTTAAAAATAAAATTTTTATCAGTTCATTGCTTAAATTTCACCAAAATTGCCTGTTACTATTTGTATAAAGTAATAATAGTAATAAAGTATATAATTATAAAAAACCAAATCCTTCCCTAACATATGAAGCCTCAAATTGTGTGGCTCCTGCCTGCCTCTCCAACCTCCCTTTTGGTACTCTCCCCTGGCTCTGTGCTCAGCCACTGGCCTTCTTTTCTAAGCTCCTTTCTTTCTCAGGTCCTGTCTGCACACTACTTTTCCTGTCTTGAATGTTCCTCTCTTACCCTTTATCTTTCAAACGTGACCCTTCATCTAACGTGGTTAACCCCTTCATCTTTCAAATGTGAGAACAGATTTTTCTTTAAAGCACTTATCACAGTTGATAATCATTATTTCTGTTATGCTGTGTATATATTTTCCCACCAATTAATTTCTGCCTCTCCAGCCTGACTATGCACTCTGTAAGGTTCAGTAACCATGTCTGCTTTAGTTGTGTATCATATGCCCTGTACTTAGCATAGTTACATGTACAAAATAGTGAATGCAAGAATTTCACATATTAGACTGTATTTCCTCAACTAAATTAAATGGTATCTTAGAGTATCAGGCCATATATGCCTTTTTAATCTTCTTCAATAGGTAAAAGTGTAGAGCTCTTTGTCAAATAAAATCTTATTAACTCTCCAATATATAAAACAAAGAGAAGTAGAACTATTCCGGTTGTGGAGTCATTGTTGCCTGCATGGCCTTTTTCCTATTTCCCCAGGCTAGACTCAGAAGGTCCTCTAGTTCCCCGCTACTCACATGTGGCCGTGGACCAACAGCACTGGCATCACCACGGAGTTTTTTAGAAAGGCAGAATCTTAGGCTCTGCCCCAGATGTACTGAACAGAAATTTACATTTTTTTTTTTTGTGAGGAAGATCAGCCCTGTGCTAACATCTGCCAATCCTCCTTTTTTTTTTTTTTTTGCTGAGGAAGACCGGCCCTTGGCTAACATCCGTGCCCATCTTCCTCCACTTTATATGGGACGCCGCCACAGCATGGCTTGCCAAGCGGTGCATCGGTGCGCACCTGGGATCTGAACCGGTGAACTCCTGGCCGCCGCAGCAGAGTGCGCACACTTAACCGCTTGCGCCACCGATGAGATTCCCAAGCAATTTCTATGCACATTAAAACTGTAATTACTGCCCTAGAGCACTTAGAACTGTGACTTGTGTAAACTAGATTTTTAAAGTTGTCCTTGTTATCTAAATTGTTGATAAAACAATATCATGGATGACTGTTAAATAGATTTTCTGTAGGTTTGACCATAAACAATCAAGAATATCTTCTATTTCTAACTTCTACTATGGCTTTCCTGACACAGAAGGATTTTTCAATCATTGGCCGCATTATCCTGAAGGCAGGAATTTGAATGTTAATTAATTTCCTAAGAGTACATTCAAATAACACACCAAGAGGTTCTAGGATGTGTGGAGCAAGAATTATGGTTTTACTGGTTGGCTTGATTAATTACTAGTAGATGATCAGGTGTATCAAACTATGAGAAGATGATACATTTTTGTGCCATTGCTATATTAAAAAAAATTATTTATAGTTAGACTGTTTTAACTCTGGATTCTCACCAACTCTTGTTTACTTTGAAAGTTTCCTCCAAAATCAAGACTTATAGCTTTCTAGTTATGAAAATCTCAATATTTTAAATCTCTTCTCCACCTAAAATATCTCATGAATTAGAGAAGAAATGTTATTAAATTAGTGATAAGATATGATCATAGCCAAACCTGTGATCTAGAAACTAACAGGATATTTAGAAATCATTCTATCTGAAGTCACTTACGTGGAGTGGAAGATTTGAAAGCAATGAAGTCTTTCTCCATATGGGTCTTTGTAATAGCATCATTCCAGATGTAACCCTGTGAGGGCTGGTTATATCCATATGCAGAGGCTTCTCCCAAGTCAGTCACCCAAACACTCCCATCACCTCCTGGGAGAGACATCCATATCTTATGAAAGATATATTCACACACACAAACGATCTCTTTTACAACTATATTTTTACTTCAGTACATTTCAACATGGCATTTATCAAAAATGCAAGCATCTTGGTACTAGAAAAAGTACCTCACTGATTGGGAACCATATAGAGCCCACTTAAGTTTAGAATAACCATGTTGACAACCTAGTCCCAAATGATCAGGACATTCCTCATTCTTCTAGACTACTTATCATTTCTTTAAAAATGGTACAGACTTAATATAATTCCTCCTGGACTGTAGCTAAGAGTAGTACTAAAGTGTTATTTCTCTCACCCATCCCTGGGAAAATGAAGGCTAGACACTAGGCTAATAGAAAAAAGTGCACGACCACTCCCTGGGTTCCCCCAACTCAGACTCACGGCCTCAGCAGGCTTGCGTAATGATGACCTTGGGTTTGTCTTTTAGACTCTGGCAGTTACGGTTGTTGAAAATTTGGAAGATGGTGTCATCACGAAGAATATCTGGCTCTTGCTCTGAGTATTTTGTCCCATAGATTCCATCCAGGTTGCCATGTGACATAAACACCAGGAATGTGCTGTCTGAGGATCGGTGCTCTCGGCGGGCAGCAAACTGCCTTAGTGCTGTTTCCATTTCCTGAAAAAGACTCTAGAATTACTGTGGAGAAACTCTCCATATATAATTCGTACTCAAATAGATGGAGTTCACAAAAACGAGCAGCACTAAGGAATCAGGTGACTTGGACGGAATGGAATTGTAAGAGAAATTATATTCTGACACAAAAACAGAAAATTGGATGTATAGAATATTAAAGTTAGTAGCATTTTTATATAACATCTAGCCCAATGGTTTTCAGTAGAACCTTAGACTTAGGAGGATGCAGGGTGATAGAGAATAATGAGGGGGAAGTGAGATGTCAAGTCTCCAATAGGAAGACTTTGCTCTTGTCTGTTTTACATGTTGGAGTCCCTGTAAATTTTGATTAAAAAAGAGAGAGACCAGAGACAGAGACAAAGAGAGAGAGTTTTCCACTGACAAAAATTAGAAACACTTAACAAATTCCTTCATCAAGGAACAGCAGAAAGTTAAGTTTAAAATGGTTTGTCTCAAGTCACCCAGGGTATTTTTGGCAGAGCTAGAATCACGACTTTTTCTTTATATATGTGTATGTGTGTGCAAATTTTTTATTTTACTACATACCTGGCTTTACATTTAGACACATGATATTGAAATTATAAAAGTCTCATGAGCTCATTCTGTAGATATCAGGCAATTTCGGGGCCCAGAGCTTGTGTCTCACTCAGACTATCAAGTAATAGATACCCCCCAGATTGAGAACTTTAGAAAGATCCAACGTGTTTAGTGAAATTGTTCATACCGAGCTGCTCTAAATCTTTGCTATGAGACTTTGCACTGGAGGAAGCTGAAATCCAGGGGATTCTATTCTGGAGCAAACATTACATGTTCCTGTAACATGCATTTTGCTCTTACAGCTGCTAAGGAAGAAGTTCAAAATTGTTTAGGAGGGAAGGAAGTTTGTCCCACTCTCTTGGGCCATTACCAGCGCTGTGAGATTCTCTTCTACAACCACTGAGTATCCAAGGTTTTCAAGCAGTTCTTGCATCCCCAAAAGGTCAACTTCAGAACCATTTCGATTAGTAAGACAGTCAAATTCTTTGTTGCAGATGATGAGGGCCAGGCGTGTTCGGCCGTTCTTCTCCATCACAGGATATATCTACAATTAACAGACACAGAATGAGTTGTCCCAGGCCTCCTCCCTTTTGCCTCTAAAGTCCATACAAAACAGGTCCTTACAATTATAGACTGGATGGCTGGAGAACTTGAGATTGGAAATATGTCCTCATGAGGAAAGAGACAGGACCACAGATTGAAAACATGTACTAGATCTGAGTGTATATTCTAGGAATTTGGCTTTGGTTGGGTGGTGGATAAGAGTTCCATGATGGGACGGGAGGGTTAGGAAATCTAATGTAAGACCACTTAATTAATAACATGATTAGATAACATCCTATACCTTTTGGCCTGATCTTAAGGCATTTATAACAAGAACTAAAACTCCCAGTGAGTCCCCAGTATCTTCTTTGGGTGGACAATCTTGTGTCTCCCTATTCCAAAGCATATCACCTCATCTGCCTTTGTTGTCTTCAGTTTATGGAAATGATCATGAGAACAAGGCTTCAACTTATCATTGGGTTGGGAAACTTGGGTTTCCTGAGGAGCTAAAAGAGAAAAAATAACTCATTAAGCAGTAATATCCACTGCCTTGCAATCATGCAGATCTTTTAGCTGGGCACTCATTCCTCTGAAATGTTTACTCCCATCCCACCAAAAAGCTTAATATAATAAGAAAATAATTTTATATTTAAAATGACTAAAACAAAAATCTTGAGTACTCCCCCTTATTCTTTCTGCTTATTATGGACCCCATCATAAATTTCTGTTTTTGTTAGTGGTCATGACATTGACTAATCTTTCAGAACCAACACATTAGACTCACATAAACACAGTATTTAAGATTTGGAAGGAAGCCTAATGTTCATCTAGTCTAGTCATGTAATTATTCAGATATTTGAGCTCCACTTAAAATATCCCTACTTTATTATTACCACTCTATGAAATATATCCACTAACAGGGAACTTACAACATTCCAAAGTACTTTTGAACAGTTCTGAGTATCATAAAGTGTGAACCTTCTAAGCATTGCTTTATATTTCCCGTGTTGGGATCATACAGAAAAATGTCTAATTTCTTTCCCTGTGAAAGTCCATGAATTCATTCATGACTTCAATGTTTCCATTATTTTATGTAAATGTCCCCAAATAAACAATTATTCTATACTATCTCAATTGTGTTTACTGTACCATAAGCTTAATTAGGAAAGGGAAGATGTCTTTAATCTTTGTATTGCCACTATCTAGAATGATATCTGGTACAGATTAAAAGTTTATATCTGCTTGTAAATATATAGTTATCTTCAAATACTTGAAAATAGCTACCAAGTATCCTCTGGTTCTTTCCTTTCCCTTAGGGCAACAGCCTTCCTTTCCTTCTAATATTTTTGCATGAGTGCTTTCATATTTTTAACCAACAAATCCATCAATTTACCTACATCTCTATCCACCTACTCTAATTTCTCTCCTACTAGAAAGACATATTCTTCCTCCTATTTAAGGGTCATACCTCTACTTATGCTCTGAGTTTCATTCTCTCTCACACACAACGAGTTTACTCAGGCATTTTTTCAGCCCTCTCTTCTACATCATCTACCATGTGGCTTATCAGCTTGTCTTAATATCAATTTAATTTTGTGCGTGTGTGTATATGTATGTGTGAGGAAGATTGGCCTTGAGCTAACATCTGTGCCCATCTTCCTCTACTTTATATGTGGGACACCTGCCACAGCATGGCTTGATAAGCGATGCATAGGTTTGTGCCTGGGCTCCAAACCTGTGAACACTGGGCCACCGAGGTGGGGCACGTGAACTTCACCACCACCGGGCCAGCCCCACAATTTATCCTTTAAAATCGCCTTCACTTGATCCTGTTTCACCACCAGCTATTGTCCCATTTCTCTGCTCTACTTCTCAAAACAATTACTTAGAGGCATTGTCTATTTTCATCTCTTATCTTTTTTCTTGTATGCAATATAAACTGGATATTATCCTCATCACTTAAATGAATACTTGTTATCAAGGTAACCATCGACCATTTGTTGCTCCCTTAGCATTTAACATGGTTGAACACATCTTTCTTGAAAAATGTTCTCTAGGCTTCTGTGATGCTGAATTTTCCAGCCTTTCTTTCTAAACCTGTCTATCTTCATTGCTGGCTCTTCCTCTTGTGCCATACCTCCAAAAGTTGGGTTCTATATTGGACCTTGTTATTCTCTATCAACATCTCTCCCCAGCTGGCCCCTTACAGTCCCATCATCTTAAATCCTATCTATATGCTGATGAATCCCAAGATTTATCCCCATCTCTAATTCCTCTGTGAACTCCTCAATTGAACATTCACCTATTTATTCAGCATCTACCCTTGGATGTAACACGTTTCAAACTAAACATGTACAAAGAAGGACTCCTGATACTTGTCCACCCCTACAAATCTGTTTCTCCTGAGTTTTCTCTCAACCACAAGTTTTCTCTATCTCAGTAATTGGCACCCTTCACCCAGTTGCCACACCAAAAACCTAGAGTCATCCTTGAGTCCTTCATCTCTTTCATTAGCCCAATCCATCCGCAGATTCTGTTGACCCTACCTCCAAAATAGATTCCAAATTTAACCACTTGTCATCATCTCTATTACTGCAACCCCAGTCTAAAGGCTATTATCTCTTAACTGAAACTTTTAAAAGGCTTTCAATTAGCTTGTCTGATTCTATGCTTGTCTATGACTCTTTTGCTTAAAAACTTCTAAAAGCTTTCTATTGCAAATAAAATCCAAATTCTTTCCCAGTGACCGCATAGTATATGTGACTCATATTTTTATTTTTCATGTGCTTTGTTTAACCACATCCTTATTCCGTTTTGTGCACTTGGTAGTGGCTTATATCTTTGATGTTCTATTAATCCTTTTAAAGATGTTATTAATCCCTTTTAAAAATATGAGTCTCAGAAAGGTTGGGCTATTTATACCAGAGAACATGGTTAGTCAGTAGCAGTGATGGGCTCAATGTATAGATTTCCTTGGTTTTACTCCAGTTATCTTTCCACTACACCACAGCCCCCCACCTGCATTTTTTTAAATCTTCATTATTCAAATAACATCACTATGTGTCCACGATATTACCTGTCAGAGGTAGAACTGGTGCCTGGGACAATCCAGCATTGTCCTCAGTTTCATCATCTTCATCTTCACTTCCAGATTCTTAGGAGAATTGAAAATCAGGGCTGTAAGCATTAACCTTACTTTTGAGAGACTTTGTTGGGGGGCAGAAGGGAGAAATAACTCTGATTTCCTAAACACCAATTCAGTGGTCTTTGCATTATAATGTAGGGCCCCTGTATAGCTGTCTTACCCCAAGTGATGTATGAGGGTTCCCGTGAGCCACTGGGTTTGGTGACAGTTACCTGGTGGAGGGAGAGACAATGCCTGGGCTGATCCAGCTTTTTCCTCATTGCTACTTTCTTCATTTTCATCTTCAGATTCTGAAGTGGAGTGAACAAAAAGTTAAGGATAAGTGCTCTACTCTGAATGTTATTTCCAAAGACAAAAGTTGACTGAGAACATGGGTTTCCTAGGTCTTTACTAGAATACCTTCTGACAACACTAGAGGTCTATGAGTTTTCACCTATGACGTGAGATTTGGAGGCAGTTACCTGTTGAAGAAGAAGATGACTCAGTGTTCTCAGATTCATCATCCTCATTTCCAGGATGAGATTCTGAAATAATAGGAAAAAAATATTTGTTAGCAGAACTAAGTTTCTGGAGCCTACACACTTCAAACTCTTTCCCTTTCGCTGACAAGGAAATGAAATATGTTCACCTGGGGCTACCTTATGGAACCTGGAGATTTGGCTCATTCTCTAAGCTCCAGGTTGTTTTAGAGGACTGTAACTTTCTGCCAAGTTAAGGAGGAGGCAGAATTTCATTGAAACAAAAAAGAGTTCATTATCTTCCTCTTTATATAATTCAAGGAATAATCAAATTTTTTCTTTTTTTTTTTTGTGAGGAAGATCGGCCCTGAGCTAACATCTGCCAATCCTCCTCTTTTTGCTGAGGAAGACTGGCCCTGGGCTAACATCCATGCCCATCTTCCTCCACTTTATATGGGATGCCGCCACAGCATGGCTTGCCTAGTGGTGCATCGGTGCACGCCCAGGATCCAAACCGGCGAACCCCGGGCTGCCGCAGTGGAGCGCGCACACTTAATCGCTTGCACCACTGGGCTGGCCACCAAATTCTTTAATCAAGGCTTTTCTGCAATAGTGTTTTCCATTCTGAGGAAGAAAACTACATCTCTGTACAAAAGTTAGATAGCCTTTCGACAACAAAATAAGCCCAGAGAGATGTTCCAAGAATTGGCAATATATTCATGTATATAATTTACCGTAGAGTAGGAGTCAAAAACTATGGCCTGCAGGTCAAACTTAGTCTGACGCTGTTTTTGTAAATAAAGATTTATTGGAACACATCCACATTCACTTTGCACTTATTATTTATTGCTGATTTCAGGCTACAACAACAGATTTGAGGAGTTCTGACAGAGCCCACACAGTGTAAAAAGCATAAGATATTTACTATCTGGGCTTTCAAAGAAAAAGTGTGCCAACCCATGCTCTAGAAAGAAAGAAACATTTATGTTCCACCAACCCTCAAATTCCCCATGTCCTCCTTTAACAAGGAGAACTCTAGGTTCCCAGAGATTTATTCTTTTGGCTAAGCCACAGCTAAGCAGAAGATGATGGATTTTTTTCTATTGAACATTCTGTATCTGCGAATGACTCTAGAGTCCACAGTGTATGGCCAGAGTAGCATGGATTAGCTAAAGACTATCATTGAATTTAATATGGCTGTAGCACCATTTATTCGTTTAACAAATATTTAGTCAGCATCTAGTCAGGTACCATTTCCTTGAGTTTGAGGTATATTCAAAGATCCATGCCAATGGAGCTTACATTATAGCAGGGGGAGATATAATATAATGAATACTTAAATGTTATGGAGTGACTGAAAGTGACAACTGCCAAAGAAAAAAGAAAATGTGCAGGAGTATAAAGAGATCGGGGATGTTGGAACAGGAAGTGGGGTAGGTCAGAGCATTTTGCAATATTAAAAATGACAGACAGACAAAGAAGTTACTAGAAACGGGGATAGTTTATTCTCCACTTGCGAGCAGAAATAAGAAGACAGAAACTACTTAAGGATAGCAGACAATGAACAGTTAGCCCTTTAGCTCGAGATACTCACTTAAACTTAGCTGTTTCTTTGGGTTGAAGAGATGGTCCATAAATATTTTTCCTGCCGTTTGTGTTTTCTCAGTGATATCTTCAATCAGGTTTTCACTCCTGTTCACGATGAGGTTCACTCTTTTCCCTAATCTTCGTAACTCATCCCCATTTAACACGTTGTTTTCCATCAAGTCATCAAAAAAGCCTTCAAGCGTGTTCCTGGCAATCAACTTCACCCTGTTGACCGCATCTTCTTTCCCTGGTCTCTTGCCTGTGAGAACGATGACAGGATTTTTTGATATCAGATATCTGATTCCAGGCCAATGGTTCTCAAATTTTAAGGTGCAAAAGAATCTCTTGAAAATCTTGATAAACAGAGCTTCCTGCACCCCATTCCCAGAAATTCTGATTTGATATATCAAGGTGAAGCCCATGAATTTTCATTTCTAACAATTTCTCAGGTGCTGCCAAAGATGCTGGTCTGAAGACCACACTTTAGAGTAACATCTAGCTTGTTCAATTCTCTGCTTTTTTACAGATGGAGAAACTGAGGTTCAGAGAAATGAAGCAACTTCACTAAGGAGCTTAGCGATAGCTGACTCAGTTCAGTCTTTGTATCATCCATGATCCCTTCACTTCTTGTCACTTTTATTAACTCCTAACTTAAAAGTACATCATATTCAATACGTATAGCAGTGTAACTTAAATGTATTACACCTATAAAAGAATGCATTTTGGTTTCCATGGGTGAGGCTGGCTGGGCGGCTCTCTATGCAGAGATTGAGAGCCAAAACTGTGGCTGGTTTGCTGGCTGCTGAAAACAAAAGGTCACACAGAGAGCAGAAACGTGGAGGAAATGTAGGTAATTCTGTTCAGGTGCACAGCCTCTCACTCTGACAAGAGAACATTTATAAAATAGGGGAGAGTTCTGGGTCAGTATAAATCCAAAGAAAAGCCTAAAATCACAGGAAAGATTGAAGAACATAGGTACAGATTTTTTACATTTTCCTTTTTTCCAAGAAGCTGTAACATATTCACTAAAATACTTTATCTGTTATCATACTCAATACTGTGCCCCAGGCTCCCATCCCTTACATCCCCAGAGTAAAATCATGTCTAGTGAGTGCCCCCCTTGGTGGCTTCTTCTGCTCTCCAGTACGCCCTCCTCCTGAGCTGTAACTGCCCCCAAACACAGTCATAAGCAACCAGAAAAAGCCCGGAGCCACTCACCAGCCATTGCTGCTGCTTGGGCTCCCTGGGCAGAAAAACAATGAAACTGAAAGCAGCCTTCTCTCTTTGCTCATACTGGAAACGCATGTTGATACTACCTAAATGGGAAATTGCAGCTTCTCAAGCTCTTTTGTACTTTGCCATGATAGAATTTGACTCTTCCTCTGTGATGTGTAGCTTCTTTCCTTTGGAAAGCAGGAAGCAACACTTGTCTTTTCTCTTTGCTATAAGAAAGTCACCTGAATGCAGTACACACACAACACAAAGTTTCTATGTTCTGTCTTCCGGTCTATTTTTAACACAGTTAATAAGTCAAACTGACTCTTATTTGTCCCTATACCACCGTTTAGCCACTAAATGGCAGGGAGGCCTCACTTGACTGATGCCTGCTCTATCCTGGAAGTCAAGTGCGAATTTGGAAACCTTGAGGGAAGTGATAAATGGACTGAGAACTGCAAAACAGTGATACTTTTATCACTGTTTTAAAAACCCAGAGAAGAGGGTCATCCCGGTGGCCTAGCAGTTAAGTTCGAGCCGTCCGCTTCAGCGGCCTGGGTTTGTTTCCTGGCTGGTGGACTTACACCACTCGTCCGTCAGTAGCCATGCCGTGGTGGCAGCTCACATGCAACAAGAGGAAGATTAGCAGTGGATGTGAGCTCAGGGTGAATCTTCCTCAGCAAAAAACTTTTTAAAATAATAGATAGATGTTTGCCATTAATATTAAATAGAAAATTTTATAAACTGGAGTAAGATCACCTAGCTTCTTTAATATACTACAAAGTAACTGCAATTATGTATTTAGCATGCATCTTTGTGAATTTTTTCCTATGCTTCTAAAAAACACTTAATACAATACTGATTTTATTGATGACCCCAACTATTGGCCTCCCTGACTAAGAATTGGCCTTATGACTTGGTTTTGGCCAATATAATGCAGTAGAGGGACAGTGTACAGTTCTCAGCCCAGGTCTTCAGAAGCATTATGCAATTCTCTGTCTTGGATACCTGAAGCTCCATGTGAATAAACCTGGGCTAGATTGCTAGAGGATAAGAGACGTGACATGGAGGATAGCCTGGTTGTTCCAGCCTAGGTCATCCTAGACGAGCTTTAAGCTTTCCAAAGCCAAGTGCTTCCCAAATATATAGGATCACAGCAATATCAGTAGAGATGCCTACTCTCTGTGCGGGTGTCCTCAGACACACGGATAATCCCAGAGACAAGAAGATAATTTATTTGTGAACAATAGTAAATGCTTATTACTTCAAGCCACTGAGTTTTTGGATAGTTTGTTACTTGGCAATAGATAACTGACAAACATGTATTTATTTATAACTTTTTTCACCTATTATCAATAATTTGCTTTTCTATAATTTGACAAGCTATGTCAAACATTTATAAAATTCAGCACATTAAGAACTATCTCATTTTTTGATGAATATATAGTATTAAAAATGCTGATGAGTATAATTTTAAAATGTTTTCTCAAATTAATGCATACATAAGGCAACTAACCCAGTAGTATAGAAAAGCGCATAATAAAAACCATATTCTCCAGTACAACTCTCCTCATTTTCAATCCCACATGCTACATATAATTTCCCTAAATTATTTGTTTTTATTTTCTTATGTTAGCCTTCAGAACACTCAATAACATGCCTATTTTATCAATCTATTTTCTGGCATGTGAATATAAACAATGCCATTGACTACCTCATATGAAAAATGGGATGCAGTTCACTTACACTGCCTCACTTCTATCCTATTCTACTTACCCGATGACACCACAATTTTCAATTCTTTTCTTGATTAATTTTTAAACATTAAATAATACAGTTAACCTTCATTTCTTCTTCCATCAATGCTGCTCAGTACCATAATTCTCCTCTGTGTAAGTTGGTGATAGTTGCCCTTCATGCAATTTCCTCCATCTTTTCTCACCTCCAATTAGACCATCATTTTAACCTATATTTTTATTTTACATTGTCAAATTTATCAAGCTTTACATTCACTTCTGTATCCACAACCAAACCTTCTGTGGCTTTATCCGTAGAATGACTCTAAATGTTAAAAAAAAAAAATGAAAAGCATTTATATTGTTATTGGCTATGTATATATTATAATCTGGCCAAACAATGTACTGGGGCTACATTTCCTTCTCTTTGGGTTTGATCTCCTCAAGAATTTTCTATTCAGAGAAGAATGTTTCTAGCCTCAAAATATACCAACTTATCGTTACCTGGTCTTGTATACTTGGCCTTCTTTCCTATAATTCTGTCTAAGGCTAAGCCATCACTTTTTTCATTCAATTCACTTCCTCTCACCTAGTCAAGGACATTGTTCAACAGTAGTCCCATTGTTCTCCTACATCATTATTTTTTCACTTAATCATTGCGTTACTATAACTTTCAAAACATTGTAATGACTCCATTAAAAAAAAAAATAAACTCTCTTGATCCTACTTCCCCACAACTCCTCAAAAGCATCTATCCTTACTGTCTCCAACCGTCCTTTATTCTCTCTCGAACCAGCTCCGATCACCCTTTTTGTCTCTATCCCTCTATCAAAGCAACTCTTGTTAACGTAGCCAGTAATTTCCACATTGACAAATTAAATGTTTAATCCTCAATCACTTTTTTGACCTATTAGAAACATGTCACAGTGATATTTGCACCTCTTCCTGAAACTGTCCACTCATTTGCATTCCAAATCACAATCCTGTCTTGGTTCTCCTGTTACTTCACTGGCTGTTGCTTGTAGTAACATTTGCCAGTTAATTCATATCTCAAGGGCTCTGATTTATCTGTCCTCACTTATTTAGCAGCCTCATCTAGTAACTTGCTTTGCAATACTGTTTATATATTGGAAGAGAATTCAAGTTTTAACCTCCAGCCCATACCTGTCCCCTGAATGCCATACTGATGTGGCCAGTGTCAACGGGGCATCTATTTGAATGCCTGGTAGACATCTCAATCCCCCCAAACCTACCACCTCTGAGAGTGTTTTCCATTTTATTCTTCCAGTTATTCAAGCCCATTTCATCCTTTCAGTTATTCAGAGTAGAACACTTCATTCCTTTTTCTTTCTCACAACTTTCTCCAATTCTGATGACTTTACCTTCAACATTAGATTGCTCACTACCCTCACTTCTGTCATCCAGATCTAGACTACCATCAAATCTGAATTTTTGCAATTGCCTTCTAAGTACTCTTTCTATGTCTGTCTTGGCCCCATGATTCTCATTCTCATCTGAACCCAGTAGCCAGGGTTATCCTGAGAAATTATAACTCTGATAATTTAATTCATTCTTCAAAAGTCTCTAATAGCTTTCAATCTTAGAGTAAAAGTGGACGGTCTTTCATAGCAATGATACCTTATATGATCTGGACCTTGGTCATCTCTCTGATCTCATGTCCAATCTTCCCCCACTCCCTTTGTGCCCCTGGATTCTAGCCACACTAACCTCCTTGCTAGTCCTCAAACACACCAAGCGCATTCATCTCAGGCCATTCCTACTTGCTTTCCCTCTGTCTGGAATGCTGTTCCTTCACATATCTCATGCTGGTTCCCTCTTTTTCTTCAGGTCTCTTCTGCTGATAAATTACGTACTTATTTTGTTTCTGTTTATTATCTCTCTCTTGCCTGTTAGATTACAAGCTCCATGAAGACGAGGATTTTGCTTTGTTTTCTGCTTGATGCCCAATGCCTGACAAATAGTTAATATTTGTTATTTGCAGGTTGACTGAAATGAATGGATCTTTTGTTGATTTTGTGTATTTTAAATAGTCCTTCCACTGGTTTCTGCAGCTTGTCTTCTTTTTTTTTTCACTATGAGTTCATTTTTATTTTTATTTTATTAAGCTTTATTAAGATATGATTTATATACAAAATATTGCACTTATTTAATGAATACATTTGGAAGAGTTTGGACATATGCATCCGCCAGTGATATTATCACCAGAATCAACGTCTAACATTGTATACAGTGCTCTTAAATTTTATTGTATTAAATTTATTAATCTCTTTCTTTATGCAATATGCTTTTTGAATCTTGTTGGAAATTTCCGCTTACCTGAATCTCATAAAGATATTTTCCTATATTTTTCCCCACCTAATAATTTAAAAATTTTGTTTTTCACATTTAGGTCTGTACCCCATCTGGCATATTCTTTTGTGTATGGCTTGAGGTAGAAAAAGTGTGTATGTGTGTGTGTTTTTGTCTACAAAATAATTTCTTGAATCATTTTTTATTTTACCTCTGCAACATGCCATATTCTATATTGTTCATTTCTAGCCTTGGTATTTTTTTCTATGTGTCTATTTGTCTACTCACATGCCAACTGATAGATCTTTATGTTATGTCATGATTTGTGTTTAGGCAATCTCCCACTCCTTTTTAAAAAAATTGTTTTCTTAGCTATTCTTATGACTTTACCTTCCAAACAAAGAGTATAAACAGCCTATCAAGTTTAAGGAAATATCCTGTTAGGTTTTCTTTGGGGTTCTGTTGGCTTTATAGATTGACTTGGGTGGAAATTTGAAACTTTTACTTTTATTTGTCTTCTCATCAATGATGGTGGTATATCTCTCATGCTAGTTAAATCTTCTTTTATGCTACTCAATCTTTTTTAAAAATATTCTTTTCAAATATACCTTGTAAGTATTGGTTTAGAATTATCTTTAAGGATCTTATGATGTTTGTTGCTATTGCAAAGAGACGCTTAAAAAAAGCAAACACTTCCTGATTGACTGTCTTTTGAATACAAGAATGCTATTAAATTTTGTATATTGATCTGAATTCTTGCATATGTGGGGACTCTATTATTAATTCGAAGAGATTTTTCCATTAATATTTTCCAGGAATAATGACTATTTTGTTTTTTGTGTTCCAACTATTTTACTTTTGGTTTTATTGACTTGGAAGTCTAGTGCAAAATTGAAATATTTTTGACTTATATTTTATTTAAATGTAATATTTTAATATTTCTGCATAAGAAGGCTATAGATTTTCTCATATTAAGTGTTTTTCCTCTATTCTTATTTTACTGGTAGGCTTTTGTTAGATGCATGCTCTTAGATTAAGGTATTGCCTTTCTTCTTGTTTTTCTAAGGTTTTCATTTATTTTTAATTACGAATGAATTCTGAATATTATTAAATGCCTTTCTAAACCTATTAAAATTATCACATTTCCCCTTTAATCTTTTATTTGGAAGAATGCTATCATAAATATTTCTATTATTAAACTGTAACTGCATTTCCAGAGTAAATATTAGCTGGCTAAAAGATATTAATATTATTTCATAAATGGCTGGATTTGCTTTGCTAACATGTTATTCAGAATCTTTGCATCAGTGTTCCTGAAAAATCAGCCTGTATTTTTCTTTCTTTTTTTTTAAATAATTTTTTTAATTTATTTTTCCCCCAAAGCCCCAGTAGATAGTTGTATGTCATAGCTGCACATCCTTCTAGTTGCTGTACGTGGGCCGCGGCCTCAGCATGGCCAGAGAAGCGGTGCGTCCGTGCGTGCCCGGGATCGGAACCCGTGCCGCCAGCAGCGGAGCACGTGCACTTAACCGCTAAGCCATGGGGCCAGCCCCAGCCTGTATTTTTCTAATATTTCCTCTACTTCTCTAATTTTTTACCAGTTTTTGTACAAGTCCTGTAAAAGAATTTAAGGAAATTACTTCTTTTTTTTATTATTTGGAAGTTTTTATGCAAAGTAGAGCTCATCAATTTCTTAGAAGTTTTGTAAGACATTTATTTACAACCATTGGGATCTGTTAACTTTTTTTGCAGATGGATGTGACAAAGAAAAAATAACTTATTTAATGTTTATTGATCCATTTGGCTTTTCATCTTGTCATGTATCAATTTTGTTAATTTACTTTTTCTGGAGACTCGTCCACGTCTTTCATCTATGTTATGTATAGTATTCTCTTATGGTTTTTATGTATTTATGTTTATTTGTTATATCTTTTTGTCTCTAATATTGTCTTTGTGCTAATTCTAGTTTTTCATACTCAGTCTTGTTGAATGTCTGCTATTTGATTAGCTTTTTAAAGAAGCAGCTTTTGCTCTTTGTGATCTGCTCAATTCTTTGCTTCATCACTGTTTCATTAATTTTTGCTTCTTTTTTTTTTTTTTTTGGTGAGGATTATCAGCCTGAGCTAACATCTGTTGCCAATCTTCCTCTTTCTGCTTGAGGAAGATTGTCCCTGAGCTAACATCCATGCCAATCTTCCTCTATTTTGTATATGAGACATTGCCACATCATGGCTTGATGAGCAGTACATAGGTCCATGCCTGGGATCTGAACTCGCGAATCCTGGGCTGCCAAAGTGGAGCGCATGAACTTAACGACTATGCCACTGGGCCAGCCCCAATTTCTGCTTTTTAATCTTTATTATTTGTTTTCTTCTATTTTCATATTGGTTTATTATTTTTTTGACTTAAATTGAAAGCTTAGTCCGTATGTTTTTTTCCTTCTTGTTTTTATACGTGTGCATGTGTACAAATAGTTATATGTTTGTATATGTATATTAAATACATATATGTGCGTATTTATAACATGTATATTTTAATTTCCAACTATGTGGAGATGTGGGGCAGTTCTTATGTTATTGGGTTTCTAACATTATCACTCAGTAGTCAGAGAATGAGGTGTCTATAACATGTATTTTTAGATCTTTGTGACGTGTCTCATGTTTCCACATGAACAAAGTCCAGAAATATAAATATTATGAATCTTTGTAGTGTTAATTAATCCTTACAATTGAACATTCAGTTAACCCTTACAATTCAGAACCTTTGCAATTTCAATCTCTCCTTGCTTTTGTGAGGCAATGCAGTACAATCAGGTTAATAACTCAGATTCCAGAACAAGTGAGTTTGCAATCAAATCCCAGTGTGGCCACTAACTGTGTCACTTTGGGTAAGTCTTTTAAGCTCTGTGTTATTTTGTTTTATTATCTGTAAAGTGGGGATGTTGATAATAATTGCTTTACAGAGCTGATGTATTAAGTTAGTTGCTTATGTATAAAATCTCTTACAATAATCAAAATTCTTACAATAATCTTGACATACAATTAACCTACATAAATATTAACTATTATGGTTATAATTGACATCTAGAGCATCTCTTTATTTTTTTAACCCAGTTCAGTTGTGTACTAAAATATTTATTCAGCATTCTATATGTACATAGCAGAAGAGGTGCATCTCCTTGCATAATAGCTCTGACGGCCGTGTTGCCAAAATTCCTCTACCAACATTCACCCTTCCAGAAATTTGGACAATTTCTCTTCCATTGCTGACACTCCCCATTCTTTTCACTGTCCGTTATTTAATTATATATTTGTATTTCCATACAAATACACTGAGGTTACATCATCTTGACCCAAAGCCCAACTTATTTTAGACAATAGCCAAGTTCTTGCTAAATAATAAAATTTTCCTGAAGTGTGGAATGTGCAGAAGTCTAGAAAGAAAATAATTGACAAGAAAATTAATTAGCTTGTAGTAGGAAGAAAGAAAGATATATGGGAATAATTTGCTAAAATCATGATAGTTTACAGAAGAAAAAAATAAGCTCAACCTATGATATCATTTAAGTAATAAATTATAAAACTTCTTCTGGACCATTTTATACCCAGGGTTTGATGAGTGTACAAACGAGCAGCTGACCAACGTACAGTTCTCATCTCCAGATAGGTACCATCTCTTTTCACCCTATTGCTGAGGGCAAGCCATGGCCAGTTGTCTTCACTCCGTGCAATGCAGATATTATATGAGTCATAAAGCTAGAAAGAAGAAGTCAGTTAGCTTCTTCCACTTCATTTCCATTCACCTACCATTTTAATTGAAATTCTATTCTCTATTAGAGGACCCAAAAGACATAGTTCATTTGTTTCCACTTTTGTTGAATTGCAAAAAGTTAACTACATGTGCTGTACTGGAAAAGGTGCTCCTTGAAGTTAATCAGGAAGGGCTGGGCTCCCTGTGATTTCCTGAAGAAGAGAAAAAGAACACAAGGTCAAGATAGTAATCCCTAGAAGCCTTCAATCCATCTCTTGTCATGATTCTTCTTCCATTTGCTTTTGCCACTTCCCTTGTCTTCTATCTGTGACCCTTATAGTCTATTCACCAAAAAGCACTCAGAGTCATCTCTGTAAAAATCTAAGTTAGATTGTGTCATTTCTCTGTTCAAAAGCACTCGAGGGGTTTCCTATCTCATTCAGGATAAAAACTTCAAAACATTTACAATGTGATCACCAAGGCCCATACGATCAAGCCTCTGACCATTTTTCTGCATTTGTCTCTGCCATTTTCCCCAACTCTCATTCTCTTTAGGTCCACTGCTGTCTTGCAGGTCTTTAAGCATATTAAGCACATGTCTGCCTCTAGGTATTTGTACTTGCTATTCTCTGTGCTATTCCCTGGGCACTTTTCCCTCAAAGACCCACAAGATTCACTCCCCCACTCTCCATTCTTTGTTTTAATTTCATCAGCATCACTTCAAAGATGCTTTTCCTTAATAATCTAGCTATAGCAGTACAACATACATCTTTTTGTGTCTCTTTAGCCTCCTTTATTTTTCTGCTTAGCTCTACCACTCTCTGAAATTTAATATCTTTACTTGTTTGTGTATTTAGAGTTTGTCTCCACTCACTAGAGTATGAGCTTTCTGAGAGCCAGAGCTCCATTAATTTGTTCACTGGTATATTCCAAGCATCTAGAACAGAACCTGGAACATAGTAAGTGCTTGATAAATATTATCTTAATGATTAATTCAATCCCCAAATATGGTTCTGTCAGACAAATGAGGCATTAAAAGCTGTTTTGCTGAAGTATCTATGCAATTATGCAACCAGGGTGTGAGAAACCCGGGGTAGGAGATGGCGTGGGTAAATATTTAAAGTATTTAAATAAACTTTACTATAAAATACAATTTTATTTATGTTTCTGAGAGAAAGATTAATAATATGTTCATAGTATAGTGTGATATAAAGCTGTTATGAATGAGTAAAATAACTGCTAGGTCTAAACTCGATGTACCCATTCAAATATATTTTGACAAAAAAAAAAAAGTTAAGTGTTACCATGGGTGCTTGAAGGAGTTTCTGAGCAGTATTTGAGGATGCAAGAGAAGATTCTGAGTGTTCTATTATCTACATTATGATAACTGTCAGGCAACCAGAGTCTGCCTCAACAGAAACATTACCAGGCTATATTTTATACTGGCAATGGTAGCTCAATGTCAATAATGTGATACATGCACTCAGAGAATCCAAGTCCTGCTTTTCCCACTGTCAGCTCTTCTGTTTTCTGGTTTTTCAGGATCTGAGGCAATATTTGGTAGCTCAATATGTGTGTGTGTGTGTGTGTGTGTGTGTGTGTGTGAGAGAGAGAGAGGGGGGTAAATATAAGTAATAGTGGAAGCATGAGTACACGTCTATTTTAATAATTGCTACTCCATGTCCTTCACTGTTTAATACTTCCTGTCTTGGTTTGGCTTACCTCCTTGATTGACTGATTTATTGATTGATTGATTGTGGAAATGGAAGGGGATCCAGATGCATATAAGTACAGTAAAAAATAGCGACTAAACACCGAACCTCGTCAACAAGGAAGACTAATTTGACCACCCAAGCATTCAGGGATCATTGGTCATTAGATCTCACCACCAATATTACTCCCCCATTTATTTCACTTGCCAGCAATTCGACTCTTGATACTTACTATTGTTAGTTGCCGGGAAAGAGGTAGAAATATCTTGACATGGATTGTCGTTCAATGGTGGGCATTTGGGTTTTAACACTTGGTTTTTCAAATGATTGTTGTACCTAAAAACAAAAAGAGGCTCTTGATGAGACATTCCTCTTATGCACTCTCAGAAAACATTTTGCACCATAAGCCAGAAAATTCTGGGAATGAAGGGAACTCAAGGTTGATAGGACCAAGCCCATGGATATTCTAACTCCCTGCCACTGCTACCCTACCTCTTAGAAGAGACACCCCACTTCAGAATATGTTCTTTATTTCAAAATAAACACTTCACGCCTAAACCAAGGTCTTTCAAACTCCATTTCCCCTATTTTCTGTTTCTGATTGGCAGATCTGATGATCAATTATCTCTTGGGACCTGTTCATGAGAATAGGGTCTCAAAGATCCTCTACCTTCAACCTCCACCAAGGCTAACTCCTCAATTCAATAAGGCTCAAATCCCAAGATTTTGTCCTTAAAGCCTGAACACTGAACAACTTTTAAATCCCCACCACCAAACTCACCTCCAAAGTCTTTTGCCATAGACTGATCAAAGAGATCCTCTTTACCCCAGACCCACTATTTCTAGTCTTTTTCAGGAAATGCCCTTGCAAGTATAATGTCTAAATCCTATTCATCCAACAGGACTTAACTCCCTAAGTTTCTATTCACAGAGACCCTGACTCATGTTATGATGCAATCTTCTACAACTTAGTAAAGATATATCCCTCTTTTCCTACAGGAGTGCTCCTGTTCTCTGCGGTTTTGAATGTAAAAATAACCACACCTCCCCATGTTCTTGATTAATAATACCAATCTTTTTCTCCATAAAAAAGGGAAGAGCATCTATTCATTTATTCATGCATTTATTTATTCAATGAATATTAATTCCTATGTGCCAGCACGTTGAGGTGTTGAGCAAATCCCTGCCTTCATGAAGCCTGTGTGTGAGTGAGTAAATCCAGGTAACAAACAAACAAATTAAATATATATTGAGTGGTTGGTGATAAAAGCTATAGAGGAAAGTAAGTTGGGATGGAGTAGGGAGTAAGGTATGTCCTGAGTTGGGGAAGGAGTAACAAATTTTCCCTTCTGGACCACTCCATTCAAAGAATGTCTTTTCCTGTATTCTCTTTCATGTGTCCTAGGTCTTTTTCTTTATGGATCTTATCACAATCTATAATCACACATTTGTTTGTTGGCCTACTTCTTTAGTATCCATCTGTCTCACAAGAATGTAAGTCTTAGGTAGCCTTATGTCGCATGTGTCTTATTCACCCCTGTGTCTCCAAGATAGAACCCATTACCAGGTAGACCACCCAAAACATATTGATTTAATAAATTAAGCAACGAAAATTAATTGAAAATACTTTCCATTCTTTGAATTTTAAGAACTTATAGCCCATAACATACAAGCTTACCTTTTATAGTATTTTATTCTCTTTTGATCTCCTTCTGTGATGTATTGACATCTTGTTTTCCTAAATCAGATTTTAAACACCTGGATGACAGAAACCAGGTGCCACTTCCCTTTTGTTTGCCTGACAAAGTCTGTCATAGTCATTTGAAGCACTTGAAGCAAATAACAGAAAAGTCTTCCTGAGCAAATAAATGATTAGAAAAGGAAAGAGAAGCTTACCTTCCGAAATACTTCCTCTAGGTGACAGCGCCAAGAATATTTTTGGAAGCATGTGATGAGTTGTGTAATGAAGAGAGAACCCTTTGTGATGTCTCTCCAGGACACATTATCTGTGAAGATAGGGAGTGGTAAGCCTTGGGCTGTGGCCTTCACTATATTTTTGTTTACATTTTTGTATTTTGTTTTTAAGTGTAGTTTGGGAATTATCTTGACATATTTAAGGGAAAGATTTACAACCCTACATTAACTCATTTTCCACAGAGAGGACACGGAAAACTGGCAGAGGTTGTACTAAAGGGGTGGCTCATCGGAATTGTGGGAGCTTGCATAGTGATAGCATTGTATTTTGAGGACTGACTTTCTACTGTTTGCCTTAACGTTCATTCACTTGGCTTTGAAAAGAGGCTTGAGAAGTAACTGGAATTATCTCATTTTACAGAGGAAAGAATAGAAGCTCAGAAGGATTAAAGAATTTCCGCATGCTCACACAAGTGGTTATTTACAGATTATATACCATGCTGTCTTTCACAATATAATAAACAAAATAGGTAAACAGATCCAAAGGAAACTTTTGGAGGGAGGGATATGTTTATGGCATAGATTGTGGTGATGTTTCACAGGTGTATACTTACCTCCAAACCCATTAAGTTATATACATTAAACATGTACAGCTTTTTGTATATCAATTATCACTCCATAAAGTGATTAAAAAAGATTTAAAACAAAAATTTGCACATTAGAAATACTCAAATGTAAGACTTCTTGAGATGATTACCTAGAGGTCAAGACTATTACCCTTTTATTAGGCCTAATAAGCTTCATAGTATCGTTTTTCTACTTCTTTTAAAAGGACATCCACGTTCCTGCTGGGGCATGCAATGGCACTACTGTAAATGGCATCAGATGGGAAATATGGAGAAAAGGGTTTGGAGTTGATAATTTGAGAAAAGGCAGCCAGTCCGGGACCCGTAAAAACTCTACTTAAAATGTTAAATGGATTTAATAGAAAACTGAATCAATCATGTGTTTTTAAATAGTGTGTGCTGAAGGGGGTTCCGTGTAGTAGGTTGTTTTAATGTTTAGTATACCTTTGACTTTAAAGTGCAACACATAATAAAAGTGCAATTTGAAAAAGTGGGAAAAAAAAAAGAATCTTCATCTCCATAGAACAAATAAGATAAAATGTAAAATATATTGACAGTCCTCAAAATTTGTCTCAAGTCGTTGCTGCATAAAGCCTATCTTGATTTTCTAGAATCATTCAGAGGTGACCTCAGGCCCACAAGTCCTTGTCTGCAACTGAAAGACACATACGTGGGGTTGAGGAGCAGAAAGCAATGAAGTCCTTCTCCACGTGGGTCTTATGAACGGCGTCCTCCTCCAAGTTCTCAGGTGACACTGAAGGGCTGTCTGCCCAGGCTGCTAGACAGTCACGGACCCACAATTCCCCACGATTTGCTGTAGAGACATCAACTTGTTACACATTGTTTGCCTCCCTCAGTATGACTGTCACAATTGCCCACCTCACTCCTTTTAAATGTTCATTCTAACCAGTTACATACACCCACACACACCATTTTGCCTGTCTCTAATGTTGTTGAGCAATGTGCCATTTAATAGTAACAGCATCATGTCAATAAATAGTGACAGTGGAAAGAAGCTATTTACTAAGAAGACTAAATTTCAAAAAACTGGAAGAACCCCTTTGAGCAAAGAAGTTAAAGGAGCAAAGGAGTTAAAACCTTATCTGCATAATTTCAGAGCATAGTTACTATTTTTTAGCTAAATTATTTCTGCTCTTTTCTCCCCTAAACAGTGTTTCAAAAGCTAAGAGGCAAATGGAAGTCAAGAAAAAAAAAAACAACAGAAAAACTTTTGACTGCAATTCCAAGTTCCCTCATCTTTCTACTCATTTCCCTTTCAAAAAAAAAGGGTACTGCTCTTACACAATAGCCCCGCTTTCAAACGAAATGCTTCTCAAGACAGAGAATGTTAAAATGTCTGTAAAACATTTACTAATAAAGCTGTCATTAAAATGATTTTGTTTCATGGTCTGAATATTTTTGTTTAACTTTGATATAGGGACTCTGACGATCTCCTTCACCACTTACCTTGGATTAAATTGAATGGAAATTTCTTAGCTGACAAGACAAATTCTCATAATGCCAGTCCCCTACATGGAGTTTCCTAATAAGTCAGTTGAGTTTATTTGCACTGGATGGGGTCTAAGACTGTTTCCCCTAGAAACGAAACATATGTCACAATCCTCTGCAAACAACTCCACGACCTTTGGATCTGCCATCTCAGAACTCACCACCTCTGCAGGCCTGGACAATGATGACCTTAGGTTTGTCCTTGAGACTGGGGCAGTTTTGGTTGTTGAATATCCGGAAGATGGTGTCATAAGGTAGCACATCTGGATTCTCATCACTATGCGTCGTTCCGCAGATCCCATCCAGGATACCGTGAGACATGAACACTAAGAATGTGCTGTCTGAAGACCTGTGATCTTGGCGGGCAGCAAATTCCTGCAGCACTGATTGCATATCCTGAAAAAGACCACAAAAGTCTTACTTTAATAGAACAAGCATTAAAATTAATCTAACCTCTTTATTTATCATGAGCAGTATAATAAACATCTGTCATGTTCCAATCACGGGGCCTTCACAGAGTGGTTGCCCAGTGAGTTTTATTTGTCTTTCTATCTTGGAAGACAGGGTTTAGCTTTCTGCTCCTGCTCACAGTATGAAAACTGTCCTCTTGATACATATTATGTTTGCTTATTGTCACTTATATACTTTTTTCCTTTCCATCTCTGTCTTTTCTCTCATTACTTAATAAGAGCCTTCCATCATAAATGTATCATACCACTTTCCTTCTAAGACCCTTCCCACTGTGCTTAGAATAAAATCAAACTTCTGACAAATGTATACTCCTCCGTCCCACCATCCTTCCTCCTGCTCTAGGCTCTATTCACACTGGCCTTTCTGTGCTTCTCATGTGCCTGTTTCATATTCAGTTCAGTTCAGACTTTTCACTTGTACTCATCCTTGCTTGGAATATATTTCATTCACGTCGTTCCAGAGCTATCTTGTTTCTTGTAGTCATGTGTCAGCTCCTATATTATCTCCTCAAGGAGTCTTTTCTTGACCGTCGTGTCAAACATTATTATTCCCCACTCACCAATTAGTTCTGATGTTTTCTTTTTCCTTTTCTTTTCACTTACTTTTAACTTTCTTTTCACTTACTTTTAACTTTCTTTTCACTCTTACAGAGACATGTAGGCACACCAAATCTCTGAAATTTTCTATTTTGCTTATAGCTTAATTACCTCCCACCTAGTGAATCCCGATCAATGTGAGTTGGGAAATTCCTGTCTCATTTACAGACCTATCCCCAGGAATAGCCTCGGGACAAAGTTGGGATTCAGTATTTACATGGTGAGTACACTCCTGCTAAGCATTCATTACTCTAGAATTTTCTGGAGAATATTGGGCTGAATCCCAACCACCCTACTCTGGAACTAAGAATTGTGTGGATACACATGCCAGTCACTTTTGTCCAGTTTTATGGAACTAAGGATATTTGGAGCTCAAAAGAGGCATAGATTTCACCTGTCTGATCACTTTAATTGTTTAAACACACATACACATCCTTAGACACACACACACACACACACACACACACACACAGGCTGCTGCCTAAGGTTGTTAAAGTATCTGCCTAACATTATAAAGCAAATGTTGAATATATATGTGTTTGCGGTGGGTGAGGGCCCTTACCCTGGCTGTGAGCTTCTCTTTTACCTCCACACTGTAGCCAAGCTCCTCAAGCAGACCCTTCATCCCTGTGATGTCCAAGTCAGCCCCAGTCCTGACAGGAAGATGATCAAACTCTGTATTGCATATGATGAGAGCCAGCCGAGTGCGATCCTTTTTCTCCTTTATTGGATAGATCTGCAGGAAGTAGAATGCAGTGAGTTTGATTTACCTGACTCTCTTGTAAACCCTCATAGACCAATCACTGTTGCTTTGTTAAAGGCTCATATAACTGCCCTCTCCCCTATCCCGTACCAGAAGACACTGCCTTCCTCTCTCTTTGTAAGGGATTGAGTTGACGGTAGAAAGAAATATGGATTGGAAGTGAATTATTTTTCAAGAGCCCAGAACAGGACCCACTACATATCTGGGATGGTTATTCAAGAATATTGAGGAGAATAGAATAATTCCTACCCTCTCCTTCTCCTCTCTCTTCTCCACCTACTCAAATCTTTCTTAACATTCAAGATTCAGATCACATTTAATAAAAACCGGGAGATATTTGCCATTGGCTCCAGCTAAAAACTAACACATCAAAGATCCTTTGCCTTTGGTAACATTACTATTTTGGAACTGTTTTTTTTTTTTTTTTTTTTGTGAGGAAGATCAGCCCTGAGATAACATCCATGTTAATCCTCCTCTTTTTTTGCTGAGGAAGACCGGCTCTGAGCTAACATCTATTGCCAGTCCTCCTCCTTTTTTTATTCCCCCCAAAGCCCCAGTAGATAGTTGCATGTCATAGTTGCACATCCTTCTAGTTTCTGTATCTGGGACGTGGCCTCAGCATGGCCAGAGAAGCTGTGCGTCGGCGCATGCCCGGGATCTGAACCCCGGGCTGCCAGTAGCGGAGCGCGCGCACTTAACCGCTAAGCCACATGGCTGGCCCTTGGTACTGTTTTTAACATGTCAGCATACAATGATTGGTAGGCTTTAATTATATTTTTAAAATATCCTTCACATTTAGGCTTTTCAACTAGAATGCACACAGTTACTACTCAGTTGTGTTATCCTATAAATATTTTGATTCTATGACTACAGCTAAAATTGTCATAAATCCAAAATAGATAAGATAATGAACAAATGAACAAAATGAGAGACCTATATTTTATCACTGGGTTAAAAGAGAATTGGAATCTGTCTGAGGCCTCATGATTGCCTTCTTGCTCGAAATATCTATGAAAAAGATGAACACTGTCCCTGCTCTTCTGCTCCTCAACTACTGCTTTAAAAATTGTGTATTTAGTGAGAGCAATTGTTTCTCTTTCTTTCTCTATTTTATGTACAGAGCACAGCACCTCTTCCGCCCTTTCTTTACACAGTTGCAGGTATGTTTCATGAGGACAAAGCTTGAGGGTATCTGTAGATTCTGTTGGCTCAACTGGTCCAGGCATGATTTCCGCAGAAGCTGCAGGATACAACAGATATACAGATATAAATTATGATATCTGCCTCTGTGACCCAATTATCTCTTAAGAATACTGGCGGAGAAGGAAAATCCTGGGGAGAAGATTTTTTAACAGGCAGGGGTTATAGTTTTATCTAACCTGTGGTATGGGGAGATGTATTACGACTGGGAAAGAAAGAAGAAATCCTTGGTTGAGAAAGCAGATCCACCCAAAAATACAATAATAAATTCTGATAATTCAGAGGAAAACACCTCAGTGATTTGGGGTCAAATTTAGCCTTTCCGTATTCAGCAAAAACAGGTTGATTTTTCCAGTGGTTTTATTCTAGGGTACTCACTCATCCATGTGGACTATCTGTTGTCTTTGAGCAAGAGTATATTGAGTAAATATTTATCAGAGTGCTATCCATTAGAAATATAATTGAATCACATGCACAATTTTAAATTTTCTAATCCACATTAGAAAAGTAAAAAGAAATAGATGAAATTAATTTTAATAATACTTTTATTTAACATAACATATCCAAAATATTATTGTTTCAACATGTGTGACTAGCCACAATTCAAGCACTTAATAGCCGCATGTGGCTAGCAGCTATCATGTCGGATGGTGTAACATCCCAAATCCACTCCTAATTCACACAACACATATAGACACATATACACCCCAAACACTTAATAGAATCTTAAATCCTATACCATCCAGGTATTATTTTTTCAGCAACCTCAGCAACCTGAATTCTTAACCTTTCCAGAGGAGATGGGCTTCAATGACTCCTCACCAAGTTGTGAAGTCAGCTATTTAAAGGAGAAATGCTGTCTAGTAACCATAGTGCTGTATTCAGAGTGGAAGGGACAATTTTTTGTCAGAGATTCTAACACAGTCCTGGTGTTCTTGTCTCCAGAGTGCTGAACAACCAGCACTAAGTTTTCAATCCATGTTTTAAAATGTCAGGAAATAACTCTTTCCTGCTGGAAAAGTTTGCTTCATTCTGACTTAATCCCAGAGCAGCGTGATATTATCCGACACTGCTTGGCCTCATTTAACTCAGATTGTGCAAGAGACTGGGAAAGTCCAGAGTCCTCCCTTGGAGGAGGAAGGAAGAAAAATTCATAAACAGAAATTACAAGAGAAGCTTACCAAGATCCGATATGACAAGGTTTTTGTCCATAAAAGGAATAAACCCTTATGTTCAGTTATGTGAACCAAACAAGATATTCTCTGATTTAATTTTATTTAAATGAGAAAAGCAATATTACCCTGTATAAAATTTTCAGTTTTTATATTTTATAAATATTTTTCTATTTCACTCATTTGTTTCCATTAGTTTTTAAATAATATTTTTTGATAAATGTCTTTCTAAAAAGTATGCTAAAATCCTAAGTTCTAGAGGTGCAGCAAATTGTAAGTCTTCAAGGATATAAAACTTTCTGAACATTTCTTTTTATAAATTAAACAGTGACACACACTCTCTTTTCCTATTCCAGAAGATTCTGCCAATGTGAAGGCATCCAGGGTCCTGGGATATTTCCTGGTCAGAGGGTGTGTTTTCTCATCAAAAATCTCCTCTGTTTCCAGGTTATTTACAGGTTTGGTGAATTCTCTAACTTAACAAATGTCATCTCCTAATGACCATTACGTGTTTATGTATAGGTAGAGTGTTTGCAGATAAAATTGGGAATTGGACAGGATTTCTATCTTACGTCTAATAATAAAATTAGCATGAAAACGAATCCTTTCATTACAGCAGACTGCTATCCCAGGGAGTTCCCATTAGCCTGGCAGCACAGCAGAAAGAAATGAGAGAATGAGGAGTTTCGATAAAAATTTTAATGTCTGAGTCTTATTTCTTACCTAATGAAGTGCTCAGAAACCCCTTAAATTGATACAAAAAGGAAGAGACTAGTACAAGGTAAGACAAAACCATCTCCCTTAGCAGGTAGGAATTTGAGCATTTATCTCTCTGACTAAATAATAGTCTTTGGCACATGGTATGTCCATATATGAGTTTGTTAAATAAAATAAACAAACGAATAGCTTGGATTCTTCCTATCTCCCAGTCCATTTCCTTACTACTGTGCTAGGACCTCTCAGAATTATATCCATGTCCAAAAGGCCTGGCCAGGGCCTTTAAATACTCTAATAGCCCAGCTCACCCTGCTTCCTGGCCTGCTAGGCCAGTGTACTCTACGTGTCCTGAGATTCCTCTGGAGGCTCCGTGTGCACATAGTGCCCGAGGAGCCACTGGACACTCCATGAGAGGGTCTATGCCTGCCTCCTGCCTGCCACAGACTCTGCTGATGGGATAGGTCAGTTCAGGTTGATGTTCATTGTGATCCTGGGTTTGCTAAAATCATTGAAGCTTCCATTACTTCAATTCTGATTCCCATTTGCTAAATTACCTCTGATTCTTTTTTTTAATCCAAATTGTTTCCATCCCATCCCAGGTTTAAGAGAAAGTCGTAAACCTGCACAAGGACCAGTTTAAGTATTAATGAGAACACAGCCTAGGCCATGATCTCGGACATCTGTCAGAGTAGCATCTGCTTCCTGCTAGTGGGACTGTCCCTTCTCCATAGAGAAAGACTTATGGAGAAAGTTTATTTGCTATAGTGAGGTCTCTATAATTTATGTTGCCTTTTGTTTATTATTGTTTATTATTATTGATAAACTCTAGTAATCAGGGCTAGGATTTCAGGTTAAACTCGTAGCAAATTGAATCTGTCACTGATGAACTTGGGCCTGAGGATATTTAGGCTCTAGTAATATTTATAATTCAATCTAGGTCAAAAGCTTTGACAGATTTTAATATATTGGACACTTTATAGTTGTCCTCCTGATCATATTTTGTAAGTCACAAAAATCAGTAAGCACTGGAAAGGTCTAAATATTGAAAGCTAAATAATAATTATGGTAACTAATATTTATGGAATGCATGTTCTTCATTTGTCTATTCATCCTATATTTATTATGTGCCTGCTATGTGCCTGGCACTCCGCTAAGAGCTGTTATTCATTGGTGAAGAAAACAGTTATGCTGTGGATTAACAAACTTAGATTATGGTCCTGTCTAATGACATAAGAGAGGAGATTGAAGTGGAATAGATTTGACGGGGGGAATTAAGTGTTTGATCTTATATATGTTAGTTTTGTAACAGTAGAATATTTGAGTAGAAATGTTGAATATGCAGCTAGAGTTAAATGTATCTGGAGCTCAGAGGAGAGTTCTGGATGAGAGCTGAAATCTTAAGAACTTTCAGCCTGTGCCTGCCATTATGTTCCTAGCCTTACAAAGCCTATGAAGAAGTTACTGAAATTGTCCCCATTTCGTGGTCTGAGACTGATGCCTAGGGAGGTTAAGGGAGGTTTGCATTCACTTGAATGAAATCACATCGTGTACAAAGTGACGGAACCTGGGCTCAGGTTCAGGTGTCCCTTACTACAGAGTTCTACAATTAGCTATTTCTATGAGTAACCTAAACACAAAGACTCAGCATCTTAGCTAATTGGAAATCTAATCCCCTCTCATAAAAGACAAGATGGCCTCTAAAAGACAATGACAGGTTTAATGAAAATGATACTTTTGTAATAGAAGGAAGGGGGGATTATAGAGGACATGGGAGCAGCCTTGGAGCTAAATAGATTCTGGAAAATTTGAGATATCTGTTGTAAATGATTCCAGTCTTACCTTCTCTTCTAGTAGAATTTTTCTCTGTGTTAAGGAAGGTTTGCAGAAGCATTTGACCTGCTTCATGGCGTCTGTCTCTCACAGAGTCCACCAAGACCCAGGGCTTGTCTCTAGGGTTGGCTTCATAAAATTTTTTCTTTTCATCTTCCTTCAATTTCAGGACATCTTTTTCCACCAAGCCAACCGAAATGCCAGTAATGAGTTCTTTGCCCACAGATTCCAAAGCCTTAAGTATATTTCTCTCACGTTTGTCTTCTGTCAGAAAAACAAAGACTCCTTCAGTTGGCACAGCTTAAAGAGTTTTGCCCTGTCTTTTGAGAGCTCCCTGTAATGTGAAATACCCCTGAAAACACCTCTGACTATTTCCCCATCTCCTCAATAAAGTACATATCTCTTGCATCATACCTGTAGAATTCTCTCAGCCCATCAAATTCATACAAGGCTGTGTTTGATTCATTGCCGCTTGAGATTTTTTTTTTTTTTTTTTGTGAGGGAGATCAGCCCTGAGCTAACATCTATTGCCAATCCTCCTCCTTTTTTTTCCCCCAAAGCCCCCCAGTAGATAGTTGTACGTCATAGTTGCACATCCTTCTAGTTGATGTATGTGGGACACGGCCTCAGCATGGCCGGAGAAGCAGTGCGTTGGTGCGCGCCCGGGATCCGAACCCGGGCCGAAGGGCACGCGCACTTAACCGCTAAGCCACCGGGCCGGCCCACCACTTGAGATTTTTTTGACAGCTTCTCATTTCCCTTCTGTGACATTGGGCCTAATGCTAGCTTTCTGGTCATTCACTGTTCTTATATTTCTCTTTCTGTGTCTCACAGTGATGATGATGAACCACCTGGAATACATGCTCCCAGCAAAGTCCATGCTCTTGTCTGGACAGTAAGTTCCTCCCACTAGAAGGTAGGATTTTTTCTCTCCTCTGTATTTAGTTTCCTTGGTAAAAGCACTATGCCTTTAAATCCACATCTTTGTATCCACATCCCTTACTCACATCTTAATGCTCAAAATACTTAAAAATACTTATATGCTTGCTGAATACATCAATTAATGAATAACTAAATGAATGCATCTAAAGTCTTAATACTTTAAGATCTTGTCTCAATCAAAATTGAAAATTAAAAATAATCTGATGACTAATCTTTCAATATGGTAGATTAATTTGACACCAGGTTAATTTATTATTGTCTGGGATAATTTGAATTTTTATAGGAAAATATAGAAGTCAAAGGTCTAAATCTTTTATTTTAATACTATAGATATGATTTAGACACATGGTATGGATATGGTAGTGTATAGGAAGACAGGATATCTCATAAATTATCAATTAATTCTCAGGTAATTATCCAGTTCATCTAGATATAAGGATAGCCTTGACACCAAATGACGTTTTCTGAAGAAAATGTGCCAGAACATTGAAGAAGTACTTTGGCTCAGAAGTACCAGCCTCATTGTACATGTTAACTTGAATTACTCTTTCAATAAATGTTTATTGGGTAATAATTATGAGAAAGAAACCTGGAAATTGCAAAACATGAATAGAAAGTTACCTAATATCAATTAACTTAATAACAACTAACGTCTCTTGCCCACTGATTGTGATTATAAAAGGAATACCTATTGAGCAATGTAAATCATCATTATCATTGTCATCATCATTATTAAGTCGCTGTACTACTGTATAAATATTGATATGCAACTCCCTCACAATAATCCAATGAGACAGCCATTATTTTCCTTATTTTATAGATCATTTGCCCCAAATCACACAAATTAGGACTCAAATTCTGTTCTTACAACACAGCTTCAGTAATAATAGTTAATATTCATCAAGTCCTCATTGTTGCCAAGTGCTTTACATGAATCTTCTCACTTAAATTTCATGAAAACTCCATGTAACAGGTATGTTAATATTTCTATAATATAGAAAAGGAAACAGATACAGAGAAGTTAGTTAAGTAACTGACCCAAATTGAATGTATAATATACAGTGTGTATAATAAGTAGAGTGAAGGGATTCAAACTCAGAGTTTCAGAATCCAGAGCCCCCACTCTTAAATCATCAAACTACATTACATGACACTTGGTGATGAATTATTTAAGACAATGCAAAGCGCTTCAGGGACTCAAAGAAGACTAGGTAAATTTCTGTAGGTGAGGTCACAAAGCTGTCTTAGAAAATGTGGCATAAACACTAATCTTGCAATATAGTATACAGATGTTAGAGAGTTTGAAGAATTGCAAACAGCATGCAGGTTAGTGTATGGAATATTCACTCTGCCTGAGTTCTGGGTTTCTCGTTTATTTATTCGTGACCTCAACAAGGTAGTAGAATGTTGACTGAATGAGTGGTATGAAGAGAAATATGATAAACAAAACCAAGTGGTTTTGGACTTAAGTCCTCTTCTCACCATCTACACATTCTCATGGCTTCAATCATTAGTTTTAAATAATAAATAAATTACTCCCAAATTTATAAATTCAGCCCAACTGTGGATACCAAAATTGAGACTCATATATCCTCTCTTCTCAATATGTTACAAACTTGTTAAACTTTTTCAAGCTGAACTGCTCATTTTTCATTCACCAGCTTCATTCTCTATGCTAGTAAGTGATATCTAACCACCAAATACACCAAAAGAGTGAAATCTAGTGATATTGAACCTCTTCTGCCTTCTTTATATCTTATTTTTCATCTTGCCTCAAATTGTATTGATTTTACCTGCTAAATATTTGCAGAATCTGACCACTTCTCTCATTTCTAACTGTTCATGACTCCAGTTCAGGCCAACATCCTTCCTTTCTTAATTACTCCAAGAATCTTATAAATTTATCCTTGTCCCCTTCTAATCCATTCTTCACAATGAAGCAGAGTCAGGGTTCTGAAATCTGTACTTGATCATGAAACCTCTCCCTTTAATCTAATCTAGGTCTTCTCATTCAGCTTCAACCTCTGCTATCGTACTCACCTTGCTCGTTACATTTTTTTGTGTGTGTGAGGGAGATCAGCCCTGAGCTAACATCCATGCTAATCCTCCTCTTTTTGTTGAGGAAGACCAGCTCTGAGCTAACATCTATTGCCAATCCTCCTCCTTTATTTATTTATTTTTTTCCCCCAAAGGCCCAGTAGATAATTGTATGTTATAGTTGCACGTCCTTCTAGTTGCTGTATGTGGGACGCGGCCTCAGCATGGCCGGAGAAGCGGTGCGCGGGTGCGCGCCTGGGATATGAACCCGGCCGCCAGTAGCGGAGCACGCACACCTAACCGCTAAGCCACGGGGCTGGCCCGCTCATTACATTTTAAACACTCTGCCCTTCTTTCAGTTTCTAGAAAGCCCTTGCTCAGGGATCTCTGTGCTTGCTGTCTCCCACCCCAACATTCCTTCCTGTCCCCCAACTGCTTCCTGTTTATCCTTCAAGTTTCAGATTAGATGCCAGTTCTTTTTAGGGAATTCTCCCTGAGGCTCAAGACTAGAGAGAGTGTCAGAGATATATGCTCCCAGAGCACCTTGTTTCTCACTAGGCTGGCATTTTTTCCCTTATTGTTATTAATTAGTTATCAATAGCCAACCAAACTCAATTGTTTATATTTATTGAGCCACTTTACTTGTTTTTGTCTAGTGTCTTTCAGTTTCTCACATCTATTTCCTAATGATGTCCTGATTCCAATCCAGTGAGACCATTTTGCCTGGCCAAAGAGGTAGCCACGAGTGTGAATTTAACTTACTACTCCCCAGACAAATGCTGTATTAGTATCATGAGGAGGAGAAGAAAAGAAAACAATCAATCCTTCCATTTTAGGAGCTTAAGTTACATGTCGTGAGATGAGATATAAACCCTGGAAAGAATTCTCCCTGGAAAGGGAGAATCAAAGAAATAAAGAAACACAATAACAAGGAAGTATGAGTGGGATGAATACAGTAAATCAATTTTTTTTATGAAGCTGAAATCATGCTTTAGAGAGATTAATGGAAAAATGGATAAACGTATTTTGAAAGGTAGGAAAACTTTTCCTAAGAAAAGTCTGAAACGATCACAGATTTTTTCCAAAGACAGTAGGGAGCCATGTATGCTCCTGACTAAGAAAATTGCACTAGTAGACACCTAGAATTTGAGAACTGAAAGATTACTAACTGATCATCTTTCCTGAAAATACTAATCTGCAGACGAACTCAGGCCAGCTACATAAGAATTATCTGTAGATCTTTAAAAGATTATAAATGCCTACAGTCTGTTAAAGATGGAATAATTCAAGAGTCTGGTGGGGGGGGAATAATCTGATTTTTTTTTTACATGACTAGCCATTATTCAGATTTGTTATAAGGTTTAGAAACCACTGATGTAGTTGAACGTCTTCTTTTCAAACGAGGAAAATGAAGCCAAACAAGTGATATGACATGCTTGAATACTAGCTACATAAATAGCTAATGACACCATCTCTTATGCTTTTCAGTTTCTATGTGTAAGAAACGTGACCTGAAAGCAGTGTGCAGGAGAGATGGGAGGGTTAAATCCTAGAGAGAGGGAGACCAGTTAAAAAACTGTGATAAGAATCCAAGAAATACTGCGTGCAAGTAGTTAGCATAAGGGCTAGAGAGAAAGGGAAAAAAAATGGAGTCACTTTAAAAAGACTGAGAGGAATTCAATACAGGAGATGATGAAGAAGGCAGAAATTCGAAGGCTCACTTATCTAATTCTGGGAGCAATGTTTATGACCCTGTCCCAGATGACTGCTTGGAATCAAGAGGAGGAACCTGAGAAGGTTTCAGAGTGCATTTAGAAACTTCCAGCGTTGTCTCGTACACAAATAACTTACTCTATTTGTCTTTACCCTCCCTTTGATTGCCACAAGCTGAAAGAAAGGAATTAACTTCTTCCTGGCTCTGAGATATCTGGGGACCATACTCTCCTTCAGCATTTCTAAGGCAGTGTCCCCTGATTCAAGTTACACGAGCTAACAAAGGGAGGAAGTCAGCCAGTGCACTATTGGCTCACTCCTCTTTTGTTATTTCTGCCTGTCACAGTGTTTTCTAAGACCCAAGTCCTTGATTCCTAGTTTTAAAAGGACCCCTACTCACCAGCCATAGGTCACAGCCTCAGTCCCTTCCAGCTGCCTTAAAGAGAGCCACAAGCTTGAAAATGAAAGTTACTGTGTGCTTCCTTAGTGCAGGGGGTGGGGACATCTAATCATAGATTGGGAAACTACTGCTCGGTATTTCTGGGTTCATTGTTGGGAAATCCCCAGTTGTCAGCAAATGGGTTGCCCTGTCTTTTGGGAAGAAAAGTTTCTTCCCTTTGGAAGGAAAAAAATGGAAATGACAAAATATTGTCCTATAGGTTGGCACCTCTGACTGTTTTTTTCCCTCCCTTTCCTTCTCTCTCTTCACTGCCTCCACACTTCCTTCTCTCTGTCCTTTTTCTGATCTCTCAGTATTTCTCCTCTGCTTGCCCAAAAACACAAATCATGAAGTTAAAACTAACAGATCTCCTTTCATTTCCGGATAAGAATTACCCAAAGAACTTCTGTTTCCTGTTTTGACTGTGCTGATCATGGTGGTATCATCCCCTCCCTGTCTCCTTGTCATCTGAATCTTTTATTGGAGCTAAGTTCTGAAGGAATCCTGGTCTCCACTCCTCTCATGCTTTTCCTTAACCACCTAAGCCTGCCTTAACGATTAATTTTTACTGAGAGTGACTGTTCACTTCCCCTTTTTGATTTTCTCTGAAAGATGATGACTCAACATACAAGTAGTCTCAGGCTGTCGTAGAATGAAAGTGTGATAGTACAAAAGAGATATGCCCAGAAGAACAGTTAGTGAATGTGGAAAAAAAAAAAAAAAAAAAGACTGTGATATGTTGAACTTTGAAGATCTTCAAAAGGTCAGAAATTCACAGTCACTTTTTTTTTTTTTTTTTGTGAGGAAGATCAGCCCTGAGCTAACATCCATGCCAATCCTCCTCTTTTTACAGAGGAAGACCGGCTCTGAGATAACATCTATTGCCAATCCTCCTCCTTTTTTTTTTCCCCCCCAAAGCCCCAGTAGATAGTTGTACATCATAGTTGCACATCCTTCTAGTTGCTGTATGTGGGACACGGCCTCAGCATGGCAGGAGAAGCGGTGCGTCCATGCGCGCCAGGGATCCGAACCCGGGCCGCCAGTAGCGGAGTGCGTGCACTTAACCGCCAAGCCACGAGGCTGGCCCCCACATTCACTTTTAATGATTAGGATTAGAAAGAGCTCATACTTGCAAGTGGAAGGGTAGTTCTTCCAGCCGTTCCTAAGTCTAACATTGGCTGAGTGTAGGATTTCACTCCAAACTCATTATCCTTGCACTGCACGGGGACATTATTTGGCATACAATACACCCTGGTACTTATTCATAGGTTGTTATGTCTTGTCTGCTAATTGTTTCATGTTTGTTGACTGTCTTGTCTTCTCGATGAGACTGTAAACTACTAGTTGGAATTGAAACAAAATTACTTTGTATCCCTGAAATGCCTTAAGAAAGGACAGAAATAGGTAATTTCTGGTTATGGCTTTGTCAGTAGTGAACTCTGGGAATTTGGATAAATCCCTTATCACACCATCTGCCTTCTCTGCATCTCTCTCGCCGAGCTCCAAATTCTTTGAAGTCAGGTACCTACTGTGATTTGCATCTGTATTCTTTTTTTTTTTTTTGGCTTGAGGAAGATTAGCCCTGAGCTAACATCCGTGCCAATCTTCCTCTACTTTATACATGAGTCACTGCTGCAGTGTGGCTGATGACTACTGTAGGTCCACACCCAGGATGTGAACCTGTGCACCCAGGCTGCCGAAGTGGAACATGCTGAACTTAACCACTATGCCACGGGGCCGGCCCCTGCATCTGTATTCTTAAAGCAGAAAGTCTAGCAAATGGCTTCTAAAAAGAAAGAATGGTGCTATTAGCCAGTTCAGCTCTTCTGGATCAAGTCTAAAGACTCCAAATCCATTACCTTCTCCAAATTCCAACCTCTATCTTCTTGGAGTGGTAAAAAAACCCATGACAACCTTTTATTTTGATTTCAGATTTATTGGAATGTTTAAAGAAATGTCTGTTTCCTATAGACATGATTCCAAAAACAGATACAGAATGACAGAACTCCTGGCTTCCTACAGGAAAAGAAATAAAACAAACATAAAAAAGAGTTCTGCTAAAAGAAATGCAAGTTATAAAATCAATCCATCCACGGGGATATGCACACTCATAAAAAAGAAGAGCCCAAGTTAGATGTAAATGTTGTTCTGCTGAAGCGAAGAGGAAGAACATCTAAAACCAAGCTTTCCTCATCTCATGGCGACCTCTCAGCCTATATCGGCTGACCCTGAGAAAGGGCCATCTAACTCTGCAGAACTTTGAGAGAAGAGCACTGTGCTCTGCACTGAACAGCAGAGAGGCATCCTTTCAGTATGCCCGTTTCCTATACTAGACCTTGAGACCTTGACCAGGATGAAGTTTCAGTGCTCTTCCCCTGATCTTGCCCCACCTCCTACCACACACACACACACACACACACACACACACACACACACATCTATCCATAGACACACATACCACTTACTTATTTTAATATCCTGGAAAGAGGTAGAAACATCTTGTCAAAGTCACTCTTTCTGTGGTGGGCATCTGTACCCTACCATCTGGTGGCTCAAATGATAATCGGACCTAAAGGGAAAAGATAGTCTATATATATTTTTTTTTTCTGAGTGGAAGAATCTTCACGTAGGCTGGAAAAATTACAAAGAGTATAGCAAAATAAATGATAAAAACAAAAAGGATGTGCATCTGTAAGAATTACAACAATATGCATACCCAGCATGAAATGACCAGACTTTTAAAATCTGCTGCTGGATCTAATAGCTATGGACACAAGCATATTGGAGTCCACTCATTTGTCTATTCAGGGCAAGAGAGGAGTTAAATGATTGTTTTCTAGGGGTTGTTTTTTAGATCATAACAGGTTGGATCTGGCTTCCAGGTTTGCTGATTCACCAAAGGACCTCAAAGCTCATTTGGAAAGAAGGGCATTTTTGGAAGATAAACATGCCCAGTGCTGCTCCCTAGGTTTTCCATGGGAATAGTCAAACATCCAGGGAAGTAGAGTGAGAGAAGCACCTAGAGCCTTACCTTTCGGAAAATTTCCTCCAGGTCACAGGACCAGGCATATTCTTGCAAATTTTCGATGAGATTCAAAATAAAAAGAGAGCCCCATCTGGGATGTCGCCAAGAAACATTATCTGTGAATAAAGCGCATTCCAAGTCTCACTCAAGGCACTTGCCTGGTCACAGAGATGGAGTCCTAGGATTGCCACTCCAACTGAGGCAGGCTGTTGAGTTCATGCTGTTTCCTACACACTGTATGCCATTTTTTTAGTGAATATATTCAATGTTCAGTGAGTATTTTTTTACTGATATTCAACAAGTGTTAAGGACACATGAACGATGCTGTATATGGTACAGATGTTAGGGTGGTACAGTTTCTGCGTTCAAGGAGCCACAAATCTAATAGAGAGGGAGGGGAAGGCAGAATGGGGTAGAGGGGAGGAATTGGGCCTTGGGGAAGTAATACCTGAATGTTATCTCAGGAATGTTACTTATTGACTTGATTTAATTATACACTATGAAATGCAATGGCCTCGACTACAAAGGGTAAGGTGATAATTTCTGCCTTAGAGAGATATTTGAAGATTAGATGTAACGCCTTACAAGTGTCTGGGAGAATATAGGATATGTAATACTCACTCTATACAGTGTAATTCTACTAATCACATTTCAACTTATCTACTTTATAAATAATTTAATTAAAAATCAAATAATATTGGCCATAAGGTGTTTAGATAAAGAAAATGTTAACTGAATATGAAAATGGTACCAACAGAAAAGAAGTACAAGACTAGAAAAGGTTTAAGAGGGAAAGATCATATTCTATTGGAGGACAAAACAGTCTTATGGAAGAGAAATTTTGAAGAAGAATGATGTTAATTATATAGAATGGTAGTGACATAAAAGTCATGAAGCCATTTTAAAATTATGTGAAGAAATATACAAGAAAAAAGTGGCATCAATAGCTGTGTATAGAACCAAACTTTTTAGCCAATAAAAATGGTAATAATCTATAAAATAATAATAGATTAAAATTCTATTTAAAATTGCAGCTGTCTATGAGGCTGGTTCCAGTTAAAGGAAGTGGGTGGGAGAGAGGGTGGAGACAGGTATCTCTGAAAGTTCTTCATGAAATTAAGGGAGTGGATGGTCACTTTTCTTTGGGAGAGCGCTACAACACAGTTGAGATTAATACAGGAGAATGTGGAGCTAGGTTTACTGGTGGAAGCTGAAAAATACCTGAATTGGAGTTTCTAGGAATCATCTGGAAAGGAGTGGTGAGGAAAGTGAAAGAAAAGGAGACAGAAATCAGCAAGACGGAGTTGAGAAGCCAGGCGCCTACAAAAAGCTGTATAGCCAGAGGTACATCTCTTGTGGAAGGCTGGGATCAATGGATTTTATAGAATAGTTATGTCTAATAATAACATTTCCTAAATACACTCAAGCTGTAAATGTGTAAGTTTTTTGCCTAGTGTCATTGTTTCTGATCATTGACAAAAATCATTGATTTCTACATCAAGACGTGGTCAACACAATGCAGAACCAGGTTGTCTCCTGAGAGATGGTGTCTCATTATAGAAAATAGTCTGTAAATTAAACCATTTGAATAGAGGCAAAGTCTTAAGGTCAGAGATAATCAGGAGAATGTGAATGCCCAAGAAATTCCAAAACATAGTGGATGGAAGAACTCAGATGACTTTTCTTGAGATGGAAAGTAACTCAAGGTAAAACCTTGAGTTAAGTTACAAAGTAGAAACATCTTGAATAATAGCAATCATTTAACGTGTGCTTTACTCTGTGCCATGCTCACTATTTCACATATACTGTCTCATTTAATCCTCAGAACAATGATATTTGTATTCACACATATTAATGAGGAATTCAAAGAAAGCTCAGAGAGGCTAAATAACTGGAACTAGTTTACAAAGTACTAAATGCCAGGGTCAGAATATAATTAGCAGTACTTTTTATCCAAAGCCTAGGTGGAGAATCATTCAGATTTCTTCTTTTTCATATGCTCCATACTTCTAGCTGAAACCACTTTAACTTAGGGACTTAATATGCCTTGTCTGCTTTTCTGCCTATTCCTACCCCTTCTGTAAATCCTACCTTTCTATAAATACATGATGTCTAGGCAAATTGAACTGCTGAATCATCCCAGGATCTTGGACTTTTCCTACGTGGAGTCAGATTCTAATTTACTTCACTGTAGATGCTCTTCTATTTATCTCTCACAGTTCCAGGAAAATATTTTGCACCATGGGAGTTTACTAATTACTAATTAAGTAAAAATATATGCACATTTGGTCTCTGTGGATAAGGGAAATTGAAGATGTAGTGAAGGGAAGGCTTGAGTTATTCTTCAAAAGTCTCACAGAAAGTTTAACACACATCCACACTCTAATGGGTGGGTATGAGTTTCTGCACTGGTAATGCCCACAAAGACGTCCTACACAGACACCCATTACCTGGTGTTGAAGAGCAGAAAGCAATAAAATCCTTCTCTATATGGGCTTTCCTAATGGCATCATCCTCAAAATCCTCTGGAGCCAGTGAGAAGCTATTTCCAGAAGCTTCTACTGAGTCTTTTAACCACACCACCCCTTCATTCTCTGGAAGGATAAGATTTGGTTTCTTGTTATTCCCAACAGCCAAGAGAACTACTTTCTCCCCTTAAATCTCTATTCAATCATATTTATTAATTTATTCGTCACTGTCTTTCATTCACATGCACATACACACATATCTTTTCAACAACTCTTATCTCTCCTAACCCTCAAATGAATTCTAACAACATTCAAACATCAAAATCTTAAGACTAAAGGTGATATCTTTTTAGTACAAAATGGAACAAATATCTACCAACCAGTCATACAACTCACAGAAGCTTCAATCTTATTTGGTGACAGTAGGTATACTTTGACATTAAGAAGTAGACACAAAAAAACTGAAAAATACTGGATGCATACAGATGATGAGGTCAATACTTGAATACTTCATATTCTAACAGACATCAGCACTCACCACCACGGCAGGCCTGGATAATGATCACCTTGGGTTTGTCCCTCAAACTTGGACAGTTCCAGGTGTTAAAAATTTGAAAAATGGTGTTGACTTCTAATATATCTGGGACATTCTTAGAGAATTTCTTCCCACAAATGCCATCCCGAATACCATGAGACATGAACACCAGGAAAGTGCTGTCAGAGGTCTGGTGCTCTGGGCGGGCAGCAAATGCCTTCAGCTCTGTAGTCATGCCCTGGAAAAGACCATACCACTGATTTAGGACTATGTGATTCATTATCATGGCACCTTGCAAATCTAATAAAAGGACACTTAAGGAATTCCTGTGTGACATAAAAATCAATGGAATGCAAAAGAAAAATTAAGTTTCAATTCAGAGAAAGGTAAAGAAAGGGTTATAGGATGCCATCCAAGGATTTCTGGTAGAGAGAAAGGAGCATTATTGAGTTAATAGTACACTTCCCAATTAAAAGTTTCACTAGACTCTTGGTAAAAGACCCTACTTTAGAAGGGGTTATTGTAGCATTAAGCACCCTCGAATGGCAAATTTAGATTTTAGACTGTCAAGAGATTAACTTTCTGGTGCCACAACCAAGCTTTCTAATATTCTTTAGGAATTTGAAAGATGTGACCATTGTCTTTACATTATGATAGACTTTACCAAAGCGGTGAGATTTTCTTTCACTGCCACGTTGTACCCCAGACCTTCTAGCAGCACCGTCATATTTATGATATCAGCTTCAGCTCCATCTCTCCTGGAAAGATTGTCAAACTCTGTGTTGCAGATAATCAGGGCAAGACGTGTACGGGTCAACGACCTTCTTATTATTGGGTAAATCTGCAGGAAATACAGATTGGATAAACAGTCTTGTCCTTTAATTAAATATTCGTCTTGAGTGTTTAAGACAGCTTCTCCTCCCTTAGTCCTATCCAGAAACCAAATCTCATGAACCATAGATAAAAACAAGGAGAGGGAATGAGTCCTACTATGGGAGTGGAAATGGAGTTTGCAAATGCCTGATTGGCAGCTGAGCACTTAGTTTAATTATTTTTGAGAGATAGGGTTGTGAGAAAAGGCTTTGAAGCCAGAATGACTGAATTTTAAAACTGACTCCTCAGCTTACTGATTTGGCCAAAATATTTAACAATCCATGCATCAGTTTACCTATTTCTAAAATGGGTTATTTTGAGGGTTCCAGGTGTTATATGCAACATGCTTAGAACAGTCTGATTCATATTAAGCATTCAATAGATGCCATTGTTATTATAATTATTTACTCAGGGAATTGGACCACCCTTAAAACTTTCTACATAAGCCTGGGATTCTAGAAGATAAAAATCTTTTATGTAAGGGAAGCAGCAGGATGATTTTCCAGAACCTCTCAAGGAAATTGGCTCTGAGAAAGAGCCACTGCACTTTAGAATTGCCTCCAGTGTGTCTTTCACCCCGATCCTTGTATTTGGAGAACAGTACCTCTGCTGACTTTTCGTTCCATATCTTTTGGACTATTTCTGGAGAACAAAGCTTGAGGCTCCCTCTTGGCCTAGCTGGGTTGTCCTGCACTGCCTGAGGAGCTACAAGAGACAAGAAACATTATGAATAATGCCATCCCTGTGTGTCCCACTAGGTGCTCCTCATAGCATGATCTGTGTATGAAGCCACAGAGGAGGAAATGTATCCTTAGGAGGACAGCCTGGGCTGGTCGTTAACACTGTTGAGTGAGTCACTGCTAATGGAATACATTCCAAGCCAGAGGAGATTTCCAGTGGTGTGATACAGGAATCTACTTTCATCTCTTAGGATCAGCATTTTAATAAATATTTTAGGTTAAAAAATAGAAAGGGAGTATCTCAAGGTCATGTATGATAAAACTCTCAGAAAACAATCAATACTTTAGGTAAAATAGTTACTTGTAAGCTTATTTCAAATGATTCAAAGCTTAGGATAAAATTTAATGGAGGTATGTCTATTTCAACATTTTTTAAATGCAAATGTTTATCTATCTATTTATTTTCTTAACAGGCATGATAGTAGGCATTAGAAATATAAAAAGAAAGAAAGAGAAAAAGAAAGGAGGGAAGGAAGAAAGTAGGGAGGGAGGGAGGGAGGGTGGGAGGGAGAGAGGGAGAGAAGGAAAGAAGGAAGGAAGGAAAGAAGGAAGGAAGCATGGAAGGAAGAGAGGGAGGGAGGGAGGGAGAGAGGGAGGGAGGGAGGAAGGCTGGGCCTTTGCCCTGTCCTTCAGGATCTCTCTGCTGTGAGTACGTATGGGGAAGAAGAGGAGGAATATTGAATATATGAACTAAAATGAGTATGAAATAGAGTGATATATGCTAAAATCAAGGTGCACCCTAGATAGATTCATAGCACCAAACATTGATTACACAAATATATGAGGAAGAATTTTCACAGTGGTTTATGTGAGAAAAGCCTCGAGGGTTTATTTGATCACAGTTCAACACCATCCCACAATGTGATGTACTTACTAATGAAATTAACACAATCTTTGTCTGTTTCAAAATAGAAATAAGTTTTCTCAATACTTGGAGGATCCTTAAGAAACTAAACTATCCAAAAAAAAAAAAAAAAATTCAATTTTGAGGGGGAATTTGACGAAACTGTAGTATATTCATTTAGGTAAACCAAGGCAGCATGAAGTGCATTGTCTGTGGAGAAAGTAAGAGATAATTAGAATGGATATATTGGAGAAACTATAAAAATCCTTATTAGGTAGAAAAAATGTTCTATTTCTTTAAAGGAGTTTAGAGAATGATATAAAAAATAAAGAGAAGTATTTGGATTATATTAAATTTTTCTGATTAAAAGAGTAAGACATTTGGTTATGTAATGAGTGTCCCATCCCATGAAATACCTAAGAAAACATGCATAGGATAACCACCCTTAATAGAGTCACTAGAATAAGTTCTGAATGTGATGAAATATTTCCTTCTCTGGCATCTAAATTTCTTCCAAATATAAGGTCTTTTTATTTTAAGAGAAATGGTCAATTTTGGATGAAATTAGTCCAGAATCGTGGGTGAAATACTGTTCCAGGACAAGTAAAACACTGATTATTTGATAGGCAAGTGGCTGGACTCAGACAAAAATAAGGTTTGCTAATAAGGAGTCTAATGAATGTTGATCTTGACTCAATAAAGCTGAGACCACCATTTTCAGGGTAGAGCACAGAAACATTTTTAAGGTATTCCTAGTCATCTGGGACTTAGATATTTCCTGCGCTACCCCCAATATTGTGTGGAATGAAAAGATATACGTTTATATTTTGGGGGGTAGAAACTGGCTAGCTATTCAACAGACACTTTCTTCTAGGCACACAGCTAATCTAGGTGGCCATCCACTTTAACAGTTAGGTGTGGCCATGTGACTGGGTTCTAGACAATGGAATGCAAGCAGAAATATGGTGTGACATATGCAGGCTAAGCCTAGCAAAATCTCTCACAAATGATCTTTTATATTCCTTCAATGCCATTAACTGAATGGTTATGACCACAGTTATTTTGGCATCATATGTTGCAGATATCAGAACCATAGGATGGAAGAGGCCTGGGTATTCGAGTTAGCAACTGGAGGAGAGCTGCCTGCTGGTGAAGAACGCCCATTTTAGAATTTTCATAAATAAGAAATAAATTTCTATCCTATCTGAGCCATTATAAATATTTGACTCTGTCTCAGCATTTCATATTGTCTTAACTGATATGAGTGTGTGTAGTATCATTTTCATCCCTAAATTTTTGGCTAGCTTTAATTTGATGGTGGAGATTCTTAACACCTATTCATTCATAATTCATATATTCAGGTAAGCTCAATAAAAGCAGGAACTTTGTTTTTCTTGTTGATTACTCTCTAAACAGTTCATAGAACAGGATCTGTAACACAGTTGGCGTATGCTAAATATTTTTCTAACGGCTTAGTAAATAATAGTAATTCTGATGAAATTATTCAGTAAAATTGTCTTTTAACAAATATTTATTGCATGTACGTTATAAGCCAACTTCCGTTAGATGTGATCATACCTAGGAATAAATCAGACATGGTTGATTTCCTCATAAAGCTTAAAGTCCAGTGGGGGAAAAAGATGCATCTATTTAAAAATTACAAAAAAAAATATACTGAGTGTTATGGTTGAAGAATTATAGGGCACTGTAGGACTAAGGGCTCTGAAAAATAGTAGTACAAGTAGAAATGGAAAGACAGATTGGATTTGAGAGAGGAATCCATAAAACTTGGCCACTTCTTGAATATTGAAAACGAGGGAGAAGAAAGAGCTGAAGATAATGCCAGGTTTCTGGTTTGAAGAATTGGGTGATGATGGCACCATTAACTAAAATAGAGGAAACTGGAGGAGAAGCAAGGTAGGGAGGAATGGCAAGTGCAGCTCTGGGCATGTATAGGTAAAGATGTTCATGGGAGATGTGAGTGCACATGTTCAGTAGGCACTTGAATAGTGAAGGGTGGCACTCAAGTAGGTAGTCAGGATTTGAGACACAGATTCAGAACGTGTTAGTATAGATGTGGTAGTGAAGCTGTAAGAATGGCTTCTGCTGAGGCAGAATAGATTAAGAAGAGAAAAAGGCATATGATGGATCCGTGAGAATCACCCACAGCCACCTCACCTTGGGTTCATCCCATGAATCTGTAGTTAAAATCAAGGAAGATGGGGTTCAAAGAATGTTATTGCTTTGAAAATACTATTACCTGGGAAGGCAGGAACCACTGCTTGGGCGTCCTGTGTTTTAGGAAAATTTCCAGATTGCGGACCTGAGGAAAGGTGAAGGACATTAAAATAATTACTTATCATCTCTAAAGAATCCTACCTAATGTGTTGGACACTCTTTATTAAAAATGCCTTCCCCAGGCCTTGATCCTGTTCAAGACGTGACTTATCTGGAGCCATCTTCATCACTGGGAGACAAAAGCCTCTACACATGAATGACTAAACTTGAACACTTGAGGCAGAACCAAAGTGTCTGGAAGTGACTTTCTTAATTTCTGCTTTCTATGATGAAAGTGGAATAGAGACAGCGACAGCATCAGCTATAGAATCAAAAATTCTCTTAATGTGCATGTTTCAAGGTGGCTCCTGTAGTTACCACTACTACCTAACAGGTATGTGAAAAGTGAAGTTATCTAACTCAGAGCTAACCTGGTCTTTGGAGAAAACCAAGAAGGAAAAGCATCTACACTTGGACACTTAGCCTTGCCAAGATTTATCACAGCCAAAAATGATGATGAGGGGACCCACTGGCCTACCGCCTGTCAATGTTAAGTAAATTTCCTAAGTGCCATAGAACAGGAAAGTGGTAAAGCCAGGATGTGAACACAAATCTGTCTTGACCATCAGTCTTGAGGTCTTAATCACTAAGATATTCTACCAGCCCACAAAGGGAACTGTAAAATTATATATGTGACAGGAGCCCTAAACACAATGTCGCTGTAATCTGCATTTGCCCTACTCAGTGGCATAAACCATACTCCAAGGAGGAAAATGCTGGAAAGCCTCAGTTACACTATTTGGTTGCATAAAATCACTCAAACCTATTAGTATATCCTCTGGGGTGACTATTCATTATGATTGTCAATTTCAGAAACAAGAGTTAAATTTAAATTTATTTAAGGTTTTATAAGGATCTCAATACAGCAACACCCACTTGAGAAACTTATTCTAGACACTTTAAGATTTGGCATGAGCTAAAAAATGAGAAATACTCCAAGTCTTCATTACATAGTACCTATTGAAGACAGGATTTCCACAGACAAAATATGGTCCATTTCCATGCTCTGAGTGGGAGAGAGCCATAGGATAACCCACAAAACTTCAAACTCAAGACAGTAGGCTGCAGTTTGTCCTATCTTCCCATCTAGACTGCTGGACTAAATTAACCATCAATAAATTCAAGAACATTTTCTGGAGGAGGCCTCGTTATGGCAATAATGTACATGCCACGAACTTTCTTTTAGATGTCTCCCATTAGTGTACATTCAAACATTACATCTAATTATCACACTCTATTTCCCTGAAAAAATTGGCAAATAGATAAGAGGGAGACAAACCCATGACAACCCTGACTGAGAGGCATCGTCTGACAACTAGAGAAGCAGACTCCAGGGGTTAGAGTTACCACAACGGGTTGTACAAGTGCCACTAAAATTCAAAGACGATGAGTTGAAAGGAATGGGGCAAGGAAGAAGAAACTTTGGCTATTATACAATTATTTGAGATCCTTATTGTTATTGATTGATTGCCTTTGATTTTGGGGGGATGTTAAATGAAAAAGGGTATTGAAAGAAAAACAAGAAAATTATTACCCATAGATGAACACAGAAAACATTAGGTATGTCACTCAAGCATAAGATTGCCCCCTAATCCCTAGAAGAAAAGCCATCTTACTTTCAAAGAACATCTTCTGCATGGCTTTCGGAAGCACAAAAGAAACCAGTAGCTGGGATTCCACCAGAGCTCCATCTTTGCTGCATGGAAGGACTAAGGAACCATAGAAGGGGCAGCTCAGAAGCCTGAACCTGTATCTGGCCCTCAGGGAGGCCTGGAGGTAGAGGGAGTGGGCCTCACAGAACAGTCCACAAGCCTGGTACCATGCTAGTGGAAAATCTTATTTAAAGGAAAACACAAGGGAGCAATTAGAAGAAAGAGTCCACTTAAAATCCTACTTTTCTACAGGCACTGAATTTATTCTCTGAGTGTTCTGCCATCACTGAAATATTTTATTTTTCCTGGAGAGCAAAATTTTGGAGAGTCTTTGATTACAGACCTTAAGTCTTCATGTCAGATGATTACATAAGTTCCTAGGGACGCCTAGACTTTAACTAACTAAATAACTAACTGACAAATAACTAATTAACTAACTAAACAAATAAATAAGTAGATAAATAAATAAATAAATAATGTGCCTTGCCAGGAGGACTGGCGTATACACTATAAAGATTTTCAGACTGTTTCCATGAATTTCAACAAATGAGTTACCACATACTCAGGATGGGAAATGAGCTTCCATCAAAAGAAGTCCATGGAGGCCAAAGGAACAGGAATCAAGAGGAAAAGAGACAGGGGGCATGCAATAGGGCCACTACTATAGAAATGGGGCCCTGAAATCAGAGGTAAGGAGGTTGTCTACAAACTAACATGAACAATAAACTACGTGAATTTTAGTCTGAGTCATTGACACCTACCTGAGGAGAGCCCCAGTACCCCTGCAAGGTGGCAGTCATCTTCACAAATATGACTGATACAAATTTGGCACGCCTGGGGCCCTTTCCGAATGACAGAGTCAATCAAAGCTCGGGCCTTATCCATGACTGTAGCGTTTTCAGCTCTTACTTTCTCCATCTCCTCCTGGTTCAGCACTCTTTTCTCTAACAATTCATCCAGCAAGCCATTTATTGTACCCGTGCCCACTGAGTGGATAAACAGCTTCCTCTTCTCCCTCAGGACCTTGTCTGTTGGAAGCACAAGGATTCCTCAAGTCATAAAAACAGCCTCATTTTCCTCTCATGTCAGCAACAGGAAATAACCTTTAGATTTAATCAATAAAATGTCCCTCTCCACAGTGGAGTAATCCTGGGGACACCCACATCTCCTACTCTTCCTTCAGCGTTACACGCCTATGCTCACTGAGTGTCCCACAGACCGATATTTGCTGTCTCTACTTTGTACCTGAAAACCAGGGGACGTCCTGACATGCCCCGTGTTTATTCGACTCTCCATAATAAAATAATGAAACGGTGATAGCTCATTTCCTTCGGGGACCACAGCTGCTGTATTCATCTTGTGCCAATTCTGCACCCTCTGTCAGACTATGACATGTGAGGATTCAGTTAAGATTGCAAAATGACAGCAGGAGACCAGTAAAGCCCAGTTCTTTTCTGGCCCTTGCCCTTCCTTTCTAAAGTCTGTGAAAGTCTTTGGGCCCCTTCCCTGCTTCCCTTTCCTTTCCTTTCTCCCTCTCTTCCTACTTCCTCACTTCTGATCACCTAAGCATTCACAGATCCTAATTATGGCTTCCGAAAAGCCACTCCTTCCAATACTATTTCTTCCCCAAGATATGTCCTTTCAGACAGTAAAAAACTCACCGGCCATGGCTTTTCTCTGTCAGCCTTGATGTGTGGTATGAAATTGAAAGTACATTCCACCTTCCTTTTTGGCAGGGCGTGTACACATATTGAGAAATACCCATTGCTCATGTATATGCATGACTTTATTATTTTTTTTCCAAAGAAATAATTGATTGTTGAATCCTGGCATCAGAGAGTGTATCCTTGGGAAATTTCCTTCACCAGCACTTGGATCAGGTCAGGGTAGGAAGGGAGTAGGGCATGGAAATATCACCTCACGCCCGTCAGAATGGCTATAATTAACAAGACAGGAAACAACATGTGTTGGAGAGGATGTGGAGAGAAGGGAACTCTCATACA